TGAGGTAGCAGTACCAAAGAAAATAGAAAAGGAATTGTTATGTCTTTGAAGGAATCTCTCCTTCCCATGTCTTGAAGTGTGTCTGCTCTTTTGGTCACCTCAAAGATGATAAGACTAGAAAAAGCACACTAGAGTAACGTGCATGATGAAACTTACAGAATGATTTATGTATTGGGAGAAATTCAAATTAAGGTTTTTGTTTTGAGAGGAGGTGTCTGCGGATACAAATGGAGTGTATATAGAACTGCAGGTGAGACTTGAAGAAGGCAAGGAATATTTATTGTTTCTTTTTTTTACAGAAATAAAGGGAGATAATTTCAGACAGACTTTGTGAAACAAGGAGAAAGAATGCTTTTTCTACAGACACTATAATTGACCTGTGGCCCTTCTTGCTGTAGGGTGACGTTGATGTATCAAAGCGTATATCTAATTGGACAGCAGTCTGGGTAAAGACATGGCAGCCCATCTGTGGATCTGTCCTCCATAAATCAATGCTTATAGTCTTTGATTCTAAGGGTAGATTGCCAGGTGGAAGGTATTTTGTTTTTTTCTTTCTTCAAATACGTGCGATAAGATATAAGTCTTTCATCTGGCTACTATGGTTACTCTAATGTTCATCCTAACTGAATCAAAACTACAGCCAATTTGCCTTTGCTGTGTTCCCATGTGTGCTACTTGGGCAAAATAGAAATAATTCTTCATTTGGCACTTCTTCACCCCAGACAAAATGCAGATTTGTGGAAATGGAAGTATTGATGGTATTGTCTCACTGGGTGTCCTGGTTTTGGCTGGAGAGAGTTAATTTTCTTCTTAGTAGCTGGTACAGTGTGTTTTGGATTTAGTGTGCGGATAACGTTGACAACACACTGATGTTTTGGTTGCTGGTATGTAGCACTTATCCTAAGTTAAGGATTTTTCAGTTTGCTGTGCTCTGCCAGCAAGCAGGTACATGCACAAGAAGTGGGGAGGGAACACAGCCAAGACAGCTGACCCGAACTAGCCAAAGGGATATTCCATACCATGTGATGTCATGCCCAGTGTATAAACTGGGGGGAGTTGTCCAGGAGGGCCGGATCGCTGCTCAGGCACTGGTCAGCAGGTGATGAGCAATTGCATTGTGCATCACTTGTCTTTTTCTTGGGTTTTATATTTAGAGGCATCCCTGCTCAAGGGGAGAGTTACTGGGCATGCAGTCCAGTTGCCATCTGTGGAGAACTCAAATTGGGCTCATCCAACAATCTGTCATTGGTAAAAGATTTTACGTCAGAATACAAGGTTTCAGTGCTCTTTGCAGCAGTAACCTCCCTCAGCCCATGAATTGCATGCCAGCTGCCACCCTCACCTGCCATGCTCCTTATGAAAGGGAATGGGGGAAACAGAGCAAGATTTCTGGTCTAGCTGGTAGTCACTGATAGCAGTTGCAAGCTGGGCTCCTTGTGGTGTTGTCTAAAGCCAGGGTCTGCTGCACAAAAACTAAAAATTAAAAAAAAAAAAGGTGAGAGCACACTGTCTCAGTGGGGGCCCATTAAGAGCCCACAAAATGTAGGAAACTATCTCTTTCCAAACAAAAGTCCCACTTGTTTGATGACAGATGATATGGATAGGGAAATTTGGTGAAAGCTAGAGAACAACACTGCAAAGGCATCTAGATTTTGCAGCATTGTTTTAAATCCATCTGTTAATACATAGATATCCAGTGTCTGGGAAACCAGGCAATGCAGATCTTAAAAATACAATTTCTGCTTTCCCAGTTATGAGTTCTGTGATACACGCTTATGAAAAACACTTTTCTAGAAAGCCTGCCTTTCTAAATGGTACAGTATAAATGAAACTAGTACTGATAGTAAAGTATTGTTGTGGCGAAAGTGAAAACTACTTAAGTATGTTAGCTCTGTATGATTTAGGGTTTTAACAATGGCTTGTAAAACTGGGCTTTTTTCTATAGTAATGTCTAGTTCTAATACCTGGTAATTTTAGTATTTACAGATGTCTTTCTCTCTAATAATAGCTCAGCTGCTGCTTCTGGGGAAAAAAAAAAATAAAAAAGGCTGGGTCTGTTGAAACAGTTTAAGCATCAGATTTCTTTTCTGATTCCTCAGTTTAGAAAGTAGTGTGACGGGCAACTCAGCCGACAGACTGCGCTGCTGCAGTAACCTTCCAGGGAAGTGATAGTGAGGTGGGGAACAGAGGGCAACATCTTCAGCTGAATACAGATGACAGAGTAACTATAAGACACAGAAGAACCACCTTGAAAAGAGGCTAAACTCGGTAGCTAGGAAAGAGCAGTCTTCAGTTTTCAGCATGATGTTCGTAAGACCTCAAGTAGATGGTCCACACAATTCCAGAGCTTTTTTTTGTGGTTTTGAAGAAAACCTGCATACCAGTCTATATATGCAAACAAGCAGACAAAATTGGGGTGTACTTGGAGAGGTAGTTAACAAGCATTCAAAGCATAGTCCAGTTCTTTTTAAGTGAAAGCTATTATGGCAGCGCTACACAAGATTGCTCATGTTTTGGTTTAGTTTGTTGGTTTGTTTTGTTGTTTTTTTTTCCCAAAGGGTAGGTGGTCTTTCAGCTCCTTAAATAAAAATGAGTCTGCACTGGGACAGACATATGGCAGAGGATTAAAATTGGATAGCTTATGCTATCACTGCTGCCAAGCTCCAGTTTAGTTTGCCTTTATATGCAGAGCTGAAAGTTTTGCTGGTATTGAACTGATTCACAAGCAGGTCACAAGCTTCTGCCCTAAGGGTGACTCGGCTTATTAGAGAGGTGTAGTTGCTGCATACCATTTTAATCCACGGCTGCATGTCTGTCAAACCAGTTAAAAATGTTTTTATACAGGTAGTAATTTCTGCAAATAATCTTTCTAGTATTTAAAATCCATCTGCAGTAATTATAGCCACCTGTTAGAATCAAAGTGAAATAGCCTTGCACTGAAATCAGAGTAGAGCTGACTGCTTTGTCTAGCATGGTCAGTGCTAGTGACATGTAATACACTGGCATATCTGGCAAGAAGACTTGTTTTAAAGTACTTTTAAGTGGTACTTAAAAGGTGAAATTGAGGTTAATACTAAGTACATAGAGAAGGTGGTCTCTGACTACTGCATTCTTGCAAAGTTCATCTGTTGAGAATAACTGATGTTTCTCATAGCCAGTGAGGGGCTCAAAAATAGATAAAAATGCACTGTTGTATTGCAGTTGTGCATTCAGATTCAAACAAAATTAGTAAAAATGAGGTCAGAAATGAGTAGTCACTTTTTCCACAGCAAGATTCCAATTTGGAATTAACACTTGTATAGTTGGTGGTGTAGTTGAGGTGTGCAAAGAGCAGATATGTTTCACAACAGGAGGTACAATTCTGTATTATTTATAATTTTGCTTTTTATGAAAGCATCCTGTTTTGAAAAGCTTACTCAGAAACTGATTTCAAAAGTTGTCCTTTATCCAGAGATAACGTCATAATTTTGGGGATGCAAATATGCTTGCTGCTCTAAGGATTGAGCTACTCTAAACCTTGAGAGAATTACTGGAATATATTATGTCAAGTGGTTTGTAGTTTAAAGAAAACCAAAGCTAGAGTTGCTTCTGCAGCCCAGGTAGAACTATCTTTGTACAGGTATGACTGTCCTTACTGCATAACAAAAAGCTTTATTTACAACTCTTCTACCACCAAGTGGATAGTTCTTTGAAGTTTTCTTTTAAAAAATGTTACAGACTTCATGTTTGCCACCTAAGCTTTGATCAGAGATCTTATACAGGCATTTCTATGGAGCTATGAATTAATTTGTATCTTAATATTGTGACATAGAATAGGCTTTTTTTCTCTTTATGTGCTAGCAACAGAGGCACACTAGCCAGGACTGTCACTTGTCCACTAACCTGAGTTCAGTAACTTGCTCAGCATTGCACAGGTGCTTCTTGTGAAAAGGATAGCTCAGTTTTGTTGGTCTGAGACCAGTGTTTCTGTAGTTCCTCACTTGATTGACTTAAAACAACATCTTTTTCAGCCAATAGTGTAAGTATAGGGGCCTAGCAGACAGAAGGCTTGCTTGCTTCTAGGGAACTTTGTCTTAAATAGAGCACAGAATTTGGGAAAATGAGGAAGGAAGCACATAATGAACTTCAATCTTATGCTAGATGTATTTTGGTTGAGTTTATAACCTCAATTTATTCTCTTTTATAATCACAATTTCTCTGCATTGACCCTGCCCAACCTGCTCCTCCTTAACTCCCCACAATGGCTGAATAAAGCCCCCAAAAGCTTAAATGCATTTTATCTTGGAATATGTTGACATTTGAGAATCAGTTAGTAGTGTTGGAGCCGTTGTAGTTACTGCTTGGGTTTCTGCCACTTAAACCCAATGACTTGTAGTGTTGGTGAATGGTCCTCTCCTCCATAGAACAGTAATAGACGGAGGTGACCCTCTTCTGGTTGTTGGATACCATAGCTGTGAGCTTTAAGTAGAGGTGCAGGCTCAGACTTCTAAATTCAGCTCATGTGGCAGGAGGTGTGTTGTCTCATGACCAACAACTAATGCCTATCTCTAATGGTCCTCTGCTTTCCTCCACCTTCATTGCTCTTGCAGCTATCTTGCAATTCACATTTTCCATTGAAGCTTCTCTTCCTTGTCCTGTAGTACACTGGAAAAATCTTTGAGAGAACATGAGACAAACAGTTTGTTCTCCATTTCAGTGACTTAATGTGAGCAAAATAGATTTTTCTTCATCCTGTCTTTTCTGGAAATGTCTGAGCTGTGTCAACACCCATAGTATTTTTGCCTGCGGCACGTTCATCAATACAGAAGGGAAAGTAAGTAGATGTCTTTAAAACAGTGTCTGGCAACATTAAGTGCTTTTAATATTTTGGTGGACTTGGGATGGGAGAGGGTAAAGCAGAAGACTGTAAAGTGTAATCCACTCATTTCAGTCAATAGTTTGGTAACTGCAATTCAGCTGTTACTAACCTGTTAGTAATCTATGCATGTGTGTTTGTGTAGGCCAGAAGCGAGCACCCAAGGCAGGAGAACAGCAAGGGTTCAGTAACAGACGACTAGAGGTGAAACAAGACAAAACTGAAGGGAGACCATCTTTCAGGGAGTACCGTACCTATGAAACAGAAAGACAAGCGGAATTCACGGTGGAAAGGTATGTATCATACATGGAAAAGTAAGGTGCCTCATGGAGGGTCTGCACATGGGTGGGAAGGGAAAGACCTAACCACCTTAAAACAGATCTAGTAGTCAGATGTGACTTGAAGACATGGTTGCATTATTAGTGTGTAGATTTGCTGCTAGACAACTTAGTTCATGCCTGTCAGAGCTGTAATTTCAGCTTCCTCGCACATTGATTTGGTGCAGTTTTGTTAAATGTTAGAAATGTAAGGCGAAACTGAAAAGTGTAAAGATCTGAAAACGTAACTCCTAGTCTGCAACATAGATGTTTATTTCTGAGCTTGCATACCAAGCTTTGCAGAACATGTGGTGCAGGTTCCAAGTTGAATGAAATTTACTGCTCAAATTGAAAATAAACCTTTGTCATGTTTACTACATATCAATTTTGCTTTCTTTAGAAGTACTAGAAAATTCCACCTAAACCTTTAATGCTTGAGAGTGTGGCCGTTCTTACTTTAGATTGCAATAGTCGGTATTTAACAAGTTCCCTGAAATTTTTAGTAGTTGCATATAAATCTGGGTTCAGACAGTGCAGCTATTGCCTGATAAAGTTGCTGAAGATTTGACAGTTTTAGAATGTCCTATTTAGCTTCTCTAATGTTTTCAGTGTTATCAGTAAACAGCTGAACTTTCTATAACTTTCTATTCCTGTTATCTGTAATAATTCTCCCTGAGTTTAGTTTATGTCCATTTTTAATGACAAAACTAATACAACTGTACTGCATGGTGTGTAAAGATGAAGTCTAAAAATTGTACAGTAGCTCTCACATACTGATGTCTCTCACAGCTGCACAAATGCAACCTTACAAATGTCTTTTCTCCTTGTTAACTGTTCTGTAGGAACAAAAATCTGACTACAAATCTTCTTTTTAGACCAACTGAAAGATTAGACTGCGGAAGGCCAATAAGAGGTCGTGGCGGAGGAAGAGGTGGAATGCGAGGTAGAGGAAGAGGTGGTGGAATAAATAGAAGTTTTGATGGCTCTGATCAAAGAGGAAAACAGGAATTTGAAAGACGTGGGAATGATAAAACGTAAGTGTTCTGTGTGCCACTTCCTACTTGGTGTACAAATAAACAATAGTCAGCACTGCAGTAGTATCTCTAAAGTATTCTGTTCCCTTCTTCTATATCCAAGTTGGCTGGCAAAAAGTCAATACTGATTGTAGTTTGAGGTCCTAATGAAAAAAACCTCTTAATCTCAGAAAACCCTGTTTCTCCTTCTAGAAGAATGAAAGCAGATGATAAAAAGGGTGGAGGTGGAGCTCGCAACTGGGGAACAGTTAAAGATGATACCAGGTACAACACATACTTGTGCCCTCCATAAATCATCATTTTCCATGGCCCACCTTTGATCACCATTTTCTGTTCACCAGTTTCATGTCCATTTTGAGCTTTATAAGCCTTGCTTTCTAGTAATTGTTGTGACGAACATATTTTTACAGTTTTCTGAACTTGTCTCCTTCATGCTGCTGAGATTAAATTGTAGCAAAGGCATGGTGATGTTTCTTCAGTTAAGACTGCCAAACTCTTTTAACTGGGGCCAAGTTGTTTTTTAACTGAAATAAGTTATGACTTTTCTCAATAGTCATGTAAGTGGGACTCTAGTATTTAAAGGCATTGCTACAAAATGCTGATTAAAAGATTGAAACTCTGTTACTGGGCTTAAAGTGTAGTCTCTTTCTCAAGTTTAATGGATCATTTCTAAATTGCAAAGCTGTAATACAATTGAGTGTGGCTCTGGAGGTAATATTTAGCAGACCCTACCACTGAAATATATTTTAAAGCGCACAGGAGGATTAGTAACAGCATGTGATGGCTTATGAATGGTCAGATTAAAAAAAAATTGGGAATTTTCAATTCAATTCTGTATTTCTCTTATTGTTTTCTGTTCAGATTTGCAAAAAGTTCACTGGAACTGTTGGCTTTTGTGCAATCTTTGCACCTAGCAATATGTTACACTTTCCAGTAGCTTTTGTTCTCATATACATCTAGAACTCTTTAACTGCAGGCTGATAAAGGACAGAGAAAAGGCAGCGCTTTGAACTTACAGCAAACTTTGGCCACGTACACATTAATTCACAGAAGTGAATTATTTTTAAAACTTGGATCATGGATTCAGGCAATCTGGCTAAAAGGTTGAAAAATACAGTCTTGATGGGTAATAATTTGGGGACTTGATATTCCAAATTCTTCTGAAAGGTTGTACTAACTACTGTCTCTTCTATAACATTTCATACTAAAAGTAAAAGATTGGTTAGTGTCCTGGTTTTGGCTGGGAGAGAGTTAATTTTCTTCTTAGTAGCTGGTACAGTGTGTTTTGGATTTAGTGTGCGGATAACGTTGACAACACACTGATGTTTTGGTTGCTGGTATGTAGCACTTATCCTAAGTTAAGGATTTTTCAGTTTGCTGTGCTCTGCCAGCAAGCAGGTACGTGCACAAGAAGTGGGGAGGGAACACAGCCAAGACAGCTGACCCGAACTAGCCAAAGGGATATTCCATACCATGTGATGTCATGCCCAGTGTATAAACTGGGGGGAGTTGTCCAGGAGGGGCAGATCGCTGCTCAGGCATTGGTCAGCAGGTGATGAGCAATTACACTGTGCATCACTTGTCTTTTTTTTTTTTTATATTCCTTTTCATTACTATTATTATTGTTATTATATTTTTATTTATTGTTGTTAGTATTATATGTTATTTTACTTTAGTTATTAAATCGTTCTTATCTCAACCCATGAGTTTTACTTTTTTTTCCTATTTTCCTCCCCATCCCACTGGGTGGGGGGAGGAGTGAGTGAGTGGCTGTGTGGTCCTTAATTGCTGGCTGGGGTTAAACCATGACAGTCAGGTACTCTGTTTTTTCAAAACAAAGGATCAGCTAGGTTAACATAGTTCTAAGCTGATAGCACAAAGCTAGCTGTCCAAAGGCACAAAACTAGCTTCTGTAGGATGTCAGGGAAGGTTGTGTGAACTTCGTAGAATACAAGAAACCTTGTATTTATTCTCCCTAGTTAATTTTTTTTTAGTTCAGTAGCATCCAAAGATATAAACATGAGATACCAATGCTTTCTTGTGATGTGGTGCATGTGGTGGAAGTGACGTTGAATTGGAGTTGTCTAAACTCTAAAAGCATGTCTGTGCCTTAATTGTCTCGATGCATGGAAGCTAGAAGGTGTAACTTTAAATATGTATGCTTACCAGTGGAATGAAAGTAAGTATGCTACTGCTCTCATTTAACAGTGAACTAATGTCTGTGTTATAGAAAATATGAACTTGGAGTATGAATTTTACCATTTTAGTAGTTGAAAAGAAACAAAAAGGCAACCCCAAATATCAGTGATGTACTGTAATCAAGTACTGGTATTTAGTATTCACAATTGAATGCTTTTCACTTTTTTTGATTAAAAGTATCTAGAAGTCAGATTTTCCTAACTCATTTTGTTAGTTGCTCAACTAGTCACTTAGTAGATCTAGTTTCTGCTTATTATCCTAGAGTTTTTCCCCTCTATTTTTTTCCCCTTCCAAGGAATTCTGGAAAAAAAGTGATGTATTGATCTGCAAGGTTTTTTTCTAGTGTGACCCATGAAGACTTTGTGGTTTTTTTGTTTACTGTTTTAGCGGGATGGAACAGACTGCTCCTATGGAAGAGACTGCAGAAAGAGCTGAGCAGCCAGGGGCATCTGAAGGAGAGCCTCGGAACAAGTATAGTCTGACTAAAATATTTTCTTTACAAATGCAAAGAAAACAATTGACTGTTACTGGTATACTTGTATTGGGAGGTACACTTGAAATGTGAACTGTGAAGTTTTGCTAGTGCACATATTTAAAAATAGAAAAGCTTTGTCTGTATTTGTGAGTCAAGAAAATCCATCCCTAATTCTGACTAAAGCTTGGTTTATACAGCTGCAGGTTGCATTTAATTGCCCAGTGATGCTTACATTCCTAAGATTTGGTGGTAATTGAAGGAGAAGCTACATATTGTCTGTTACCTTTTTAACTCATCTAATTTATAAACTCTACCCTGCTTTTTGAAGTTCTCTGAGAAAAAGGTATTCAAGGTGCCTATGTGATCAATTAAAATACACTAAGATAAAATTCTGTAAGTCAGTATTCATCAATCACTAATTGCATGCAGTTGTCATCTCTTCATGAAGGACCTCTGTAGTACTTGAAAAACTTGCTGGAAATGGTCTTGCAGTGAGCCTTAGAAGTGGAGAAATTGAGAGAGAAATCTGCCCCTTGTGTTCTGGCTTTTATTCTGATCACTCTCCAGTGAGAAGTTACTTCACAGCAAATAAACACTTACTTAAGAAAAAGTAACTGGACAATCTTGTCCAAGTAAGAGACTTTAAAGAATAATCAAATAGCATATGGTGAAATCTTCTAATGAATGAAAGGGGGTCAGTGCAATATGTCAGCCTTCTCTTCTGTTGCTCTGAAGTCTTTTTTACCTAATGATGCAGCTCCAGTTATTGGTGGCCTTGGTTCATTTCTTAATTATAAAACTGACTAGACTACAAAACCTGTTTTATATGTTTGGGTTGTATAACCCTGTAAGAAGTTGAGTTGATACAGCTTTGATTCTTTTAATTTTAAACTAGCTTTCAGTATATATCTAGAGGTGTCTATAGATAGGGAAGTCTGTCTCTGAAATTGAATGGCTATGATTGGATTTCCAGAAAACTGTTTCTAGACTAACTTAAATCAGATGGGCAGTATAGATAAACTGTCAAAAATTCAGTGTTTGACAGACAACAGTTATTCAGCTTTTTTTGTCAACCACTGGTACCTTTACTTGTTTCAGACATGTATTTGTTTCTATTCCAATTCAAGCTCTTTTTAAATGTGTCCTGACATCAGTTTCTTGTAGAGGGTAAGGCATGAGAAGTATATGTAGTGGAAAAGGCATCTGACAGAATATGCCAGTTGTCTTTAATTCTTTTCCCTTTCTCAGAGATCACTAGGTATTTGGTCAGACTGTGAGCCTTTCTGGAGATTTTAATCCTCTTCATGTTTTTTTTTTAAAAAAAAGCTTCATTTAGGAATAGTCCACTGAAATCTGTAAGATTCAAAAAAGCAAGTAACCTACAAGTACAAAATTCTGCATTGTATACTCTTTTCAGTGCAGTAAATATTGTCCGGAAGACTTAAATATCTGTATACAAAATATGAATTACATATACGTCATTGCACTTACCTGTGGGCATAGTATCAGCTTGGTGACTCTGGGTTTTAAAACAGAAGAGGAGACATTCTGCTAATAGTGCCTAGGTAATTAGGGATGGCTGTATGGCATACACCCTAGCAAGGTGGAATTATTTTTGTTGTTCTTTTACTATTTAAAAGCAAAAGCTGGTGGGGTATGGTTTTCAGGCTTCGGGATGTATTTTAAGGTCTTGTATGCTTAGGTTGCCCCTGCTCTCCAGAATTGCTGTCTTCTGGCAGGTAACACACCAGCAAAAGATTGTAGCTAGGCTACCTTCTGCTTTCGCTACAGCCTCAATACTGAGGGTGTCGGGGGGCGTGTTTGCTTAAGCTACTGCCAGGGTTGTTCTCATTTTGACCCTTAATTGCAGCGACTCAAAGGAATCTATTTCTTTTCTACTGCCTTATTGCAGTTGTGTCTTTGTATTGAGGAAGAGTTGGAAAACTTGGGTTTGTTTCTTCTTGTTCTCTTTCCTGTTGTTACTGTTTCCATTTAAAAGAAAAAAAAAAGTATTCCTGGAAGTTGGCAATAGTCTGTCTGCGTGGAGATACTGTATAGCTTTCTGGTGTGGTACTGGCTAATTTCAATGAACTCTGGAAAGGCTTCTATAGGCTTCTGTAACTTACGGGGTCTTGCCTTCAGGACTGTGTCCACATGGCTGTTCTTGAGCTTCCGTTTGCGAAGTATTGCAGGACAAGAGTTTCTTTGATACTTCTTGATACAAGTTATTTCTTTCCATGTCTGCAAATTTCCTTGAGTGTGTCAACAATATCTGTCTCTCTTTATAGCATCCCAAACTGCATGCTAATAGTGGGGTTTTTTTTGCTGCAAGTAGTTAAGTATAAAATACACAAGTACTACAGCAGTATAAGCTTTCCTCACAGCTGCTTTCTGTTGAACTTGTCTTTGCAGTCTGAACAATGTAACACACTCATGTTGACTGGTAATTCAAATGAACAGATTTTTCTTTTTATTCAGTATGACACATAGTCTCATCAGTTCCTATCAAAGGTGTTTGCAGAGTTAGTATTTATTCTGTGGGGTTTTCTTCCTTTTCCTTACACAGGACTTTATTCCCTTTTGGTGGAGCTATGTATTCTTCTGGTCATTTAATAGGAAGCTTTCAAAATTTGTCTTCATGTTTGCTGACCTATTTACCTCTCTTGTTTGGGGTTGTGGTGTTTGGTTGTTTTTTTTGTTTGTTTGTTTGTTTTTTTAATAGTGACATAGAGCTTTCCACAGACCAGGCCGGATCTTCATAAGTATTTGGTTCAGTGTTTTTCTTCTATAGTTAACTTGTACAGTTGTCACTTGGTCTTACCTTGTTTAACTTTCTGAATTTTGCTATAACTGGTGGTAACGCTCCTGTAAATTATGTCTAATAAGAAAGATTCATGTCATTGATTTCTGATAAAAGCTAAATAAAAATTTGCTTTGTGCAGCTGAATAATACAAAAACTGATCTGAAAAAGACCCACTATCATAATTTTTAATGATACAAAAATAATCAGCTGAATAACTGAGCTGAATGCTGTTCTTTTCTATTTGCATTTCTCCTGCATATTAATATGTTCACGTAGAGCAGTTCCTGCAAGAAAGGTATGCACAGTAAACAAGGCATAGCGGGAGGCTTATACTCATGCATTGAAAACACTGAAGCAGTACAAACTATTACTGAAGGCTCCCATTTGGTGTTTTGGTATGTACTTGCATTGTGAATTCAGTTTGTTCATGTCCAGAGGCTGCACTTAGGTGTCTGGCAATATTTTGTAAGTGTGATTGTTGGTGTGCCAAGGAGCTTATTATCTTGATTAATGAAAATGCTCACCAAGCAGTTACTAAAAATGGGTGAGGTTAGAAGGTAGAAAGTAATGCACAGAGTGCACTTCCAGGCAGGCTTGGTGCCCAAAATTACCTGCTACAATTGAGTCTTTGTCCAAAATGTGATATGCAGGTTCCTGTTGCTGTGCTTCACTAATAGGAGGTGTTCCGCTTGAGAGTCTAGGCTTCCTAAAACAAATTTGTACTGCTGATAACCCACCAGTTGAAACCATCCTTTGGAGTAAAAAATCAAACTGTACTTTGCCATTGAAAAAACCAAACATTTGCAGTGTAAATCTACCAGTATTTCCTGTAGAACAGGCAAGCAGTTGTTTTTGATAGATATGTACTTTTCAAAGCAATACTTGTGATTTGCTTTTCTGAGAGGTCAATTTGCTGTGTATTGAAATGTCCTTGTGTTGTCTTATGATCACAGAAATTTAGACCTGAAAGGGGCCTTGCTGACGCAAGGCATGACCAACCGTAACTGTGCCACTTCTCCTACCTGTCTAGTTGATTTTAATGTCCTGTACTGATAGAGATTTCAGTGTCGCTTGATGGTCTTTCCAATACTTTGAAAATAGAAACTGCTGTGGTTTGGGTTTGGGTTTTTTTTGATCCTGAGTGTCTTGCCTTAAGATCGTGGATATGCAAAATTTTCTTTCTTTTTTAGCATTATGTATGTTTCCTCCTCAGCATATCTTTAAAGGCTTCCCATGTAGATTACATATTTTAGGCCTCATATCTGTCTTGAAGTTCTATTCTGGACTTTCTTCCTGTTCCCATGTGGAAGACATTACTCAGTTGAGACCTTGTTCCACCCTACCAGCAGTGACATCGGTTCCAAACAAAACTGTTGATGTCTGTCCTTATAGTAGTATGCTGTTGCAGAAGGGACAAATGCTGTTGATTTAAAGTTAAGCTTGACTGGATTACCTGCAATACTCTTGCATGGTTTGGGGGGTTGGGATCCCTCTTCTGCCTTGCTAGTGGTTCTTTCTGTGTTTGGGTAGCTGATACTTTTGCCTGAGAGTATGTATTTCTGCTTGTCCTTTGGACTTTCTGGGGGTGGTTGTTTTGGTTGTTTGTTTTCAAATCACTTACTTGGTTGCTTTAGCATCTCGTACCACTGGTCAGCTCTTAAGTATTCTTGAACACTTGCGCTATTGCCCTTTTTTTTTTTTTTGCAAGTTTTGTGCCATAGAAAATGCAGTAAATGTATTATGTATTACACTGTGGATAACTGCACAGAGCTGGCCTTAAAGGTCGACTCAAATACTTGTTTTTCTTTTGCAAATTCAAAGATTGATAGCTACTTTTCAAGTACTTGTTGCAACCAGTTCTATATCTTTCTACAGCTCTTGCCAAGGACTGAAACAGTGTCTCCCTAATGTGGTGAAAACTTAATGGGAGAGGAGAACAAAAGACTTCCTAAAGTTCAGATATGCAATTTACTGATTCTGTCCTGATGTAGTGGCTTAGGAAGAAATTAAACCAATTTAACAGAGCCACTTTTTATTAGTTTACTTCCTTTTTTTTTCCTTCCTCTGGGTGCTTGCAGCTAGTCTTCTTTTTCCAGCACCTATTCCCAAAACTGAAGCTTCAGATAATTGATCAAAAATTATCTGACTACTTACTCTTGAGGACAACAAATTGAAATGTTTGGGGTGCAGTTGGTTCTTACACATGGAACAGTATCTGTTGGTGTTTTTCCAGAAGCAGCTGCATCTTTCACTAGTATCCTTTTTATTTAACTCAAGAAACTGGTTGATTTTTTTTCTTAACAGTCCTCCTAATATAGTTTCAGATAGTCTTAACCAGTATGGATCTACAAGCTGCTTACCAGTCTTTTAACCTCTAAATTCTGGTTGATACAGCTGCAATTTTCAAAATAACAGGGCGTGAGGACATGTCAGAGGGTAGGCATGTAGTACAGGACTTGCATATTTTTATTTTTCTGTGAAGTGCATTTAAAACTGTGTTCATCCTAGAACCAAAATTAAGGGCTTTCTTACTGTTCAGTTCTGCTTCTACCTGTCATATGCTGGGTGCTTCAGGAAATTATTGTATAATTTTGACTGGCAAGAAATAGAATGGTTCTCTGCAAGATCAAGTAGGAAGAGGGAGCAGGCCTGTTCCTGTATAGGCTAGTTCTAAATGTACAGAACACTCCCAACACATGTGTGTGTTCTCACGGGGTGCTTGTACAACTTCAAAACCAAAATGCACAGTTTGCTGAGTATTATTTGACTCTGCATCTTTCCATGATAAAATAAATTTCCAACTTGCAACTAATCAACTGTATATTTACATTGGAAAAATCATCAGCTTTTGGTAGAAGACGACTTGCAACTGCGATTGAGTGAGGAAAAACAAATCCATAGTTCTCCCACCAGAAGGGACCTAATTAAAGGGTTTTCTGGAAAAATTGATGTTAGGGAAGTACTTGACCAACTTTGACTGCTATTGCAATAACAGTTTTTTGTGGGAGAAGGGAGAAATGGTTTCTCAAGTGTCTGGGAGTAACCAGTGCAGGTTTTCCTGTAGTTCATGATATTTGACTTGTTTCTGCAGCAAACAATTATGGCGTTGAAGTGAGTTTTGCTCCCTGCATGTGATGCTGCTTAGTAGGGAATAGCTTTCTGCAAATATCAGGAAAAGGTACACCTGTAGTGTACCCTAATAGCAGCTGGTCCTGGGCAAGTCAGTCTTGGTCAGCCTCAGAAGAGTGTCAGAGGAGTCATTGAGCAGTGATGAGTGGAGAAAAATCTTCAGTTTTGTCTTATGTATCTTCTCTTATGAATACAGACGTAAAGCCTTAGACTTCTGTCTTTACAGTTCAAAAATATGCAAGGCAGACTTCGATGTACTCCATATGTTTTCCTTGAACATACCATAATTATTGCACTTTGTGACAAATTAAAACTGGACTAGGTTTAATCTGGTTTTGCCAGGTGACAAATATTGTCTCCTTGCGTGCTACTACATCTGACAAAAGAAATCAAAGAAGCATCTTGTGAAATTAACAAAGGAAATGTTAATTGCCTAGAAGATCTCATGATGTGATCGTCATGTCTTTTTGATGACGGAAAGCTGCACTGAAACATGAATCCATCTCATATTGTCATCCTGCAGTATGAGTCAATAAAACCATGCAATTGGGGTGTTTTAAAACTGCTTGGTATGCTTTTTTTACTATGGCTGTATTTGCTAGGAGTAGATCCACTATTGGGAGTAGGGTTGAGAATATATGCCAGATCAAAAGACAGACTGGTTTTGTCTAGAATCTGAAGTGCTTGAACTTACAATGAGACTGGATAAATACCAGAACTTACTAGAGGAGGCTGGAGAGAGCATTTGTTCATACGACTAATTTCAAACAGGCCATAAGTATATTTTCCAACTTACATTAATGTAAAACTTGCACATCAAGTTACTGTGGAGTAAGTGAAATTGAGGGTAGTAATTTGGTGAGAAAGATTCCAAATGTTTTGTTTAGTATCCTTACTTTAGAGATTAGTGTTCGTGTTCATCCTGGCATGTTGCAAGCTAATGGTTTTTACTTTACAACTATAAACCTTTAGAGTTGCTGAAGGAGAGCCAATGGAAGAAGTAGTTCAAGAAATGACGTTAGATGAGTGGAAAAATCTTCAGCAACAGAATCGACCAAAGCCTGAATTCAACATCCGGAAGCCAGAATCCACTGTTCCTTCCAAAGCAGTGGTGATTCACAAGTCAAAATATAGCGATGATGTAAGCATTGCCTCAGGAATTCTGTAAACTCTGCTTTATGCCAGGGTTAGGAAACTGTCTCTATTCTTTTTCTACTAGTTCTAGTATAATCTGAACAGACTAGAAATCAGTATCTAAGCTTTGTTACTGTAATGACATACGTGCCCCAAAACTTGCTTTAAACTTATCATCTGTTCATTTTCTTCTCTCAGATCATCACCCCTATTTTGTATGCAAATACATAATATATCAGGTTGTTCTACCTTATGGCTCAGTCTTAGCAATATAAAACCGTGTCCTAGCTGCTGCTGCCTATGTAGATCTCTGGTAATGCTGCTAGAGAAACTTGGTTTACTAAACACTTCTTATCCTAGGTTTGAATCCTGTTTAGCTGACTTGCCAGTATATACTTGCATGTATATATTAAACTCGGGTTTTGGCATCTGTTAGTCTGGATGCTAAGTGTCCTATTTCTCATCTGTGCTGGATACCAGCTTTCATTGTGCACTTGGAATATATGAAAAAATATTTATTTTTTTTAGTTGTTTTTTGGGGGTTTTTTTGGTTTGGTTTTTTTTTTTTTTTTAGTTTTAGGGTCCTGCTTCTTAGAATTAACTCTGGAGACCTTGTTCTGTAGTAATGTGCTTCCCCGTCCCCCTTTTCCCTAACTTTTATTCCACGATATTACTGGGATTGACACTTCAGGGAAAACTTCTAGTTTATTGATATGACGGGGAGAGAGGTGAAGCTTCTTTCACAGATTCTTGCTTATTTACATTTCACATTGTGGGGGTCACAGAAGTATGTGCATATCATCGTAGTCTAGCATGATGGAATTTTGATCCTTAAAGTCTGCATGCACGTATGAATACACATATTATCCTTTGTGTAGTTGTAATATTAACATCAAAACTTGCAGCTTTTTAAGCCTTAATCACTTTAGGTCATTGAGCGCTTCCAGGGACAGACAGTAATACTGAAGTGGCCTGCGTCCTTTTTAGTATGACTTTTGGTGGTCACAGTTGCTATTATCTCCTCTTCCTTTTCTGAGGGAGATGGTGGTAGGGGTGAGGAGAACATCTTTCACAAGCTCTGAAGAGAGTATGCAAATGTGTGAAGAGTGCATGCAAGTTTCTATTCTTTTTGCCCGTAAAGTTTCTTGGCTGGCAGTATCAAGGGACTTTGTCAAAATGAACATAGAATAGGAGGTACAGGAACTGCATAACATGGACAAGTCAAATCCCTGTGTTAGACATTGAATAAAGTAAGTGATTTATCACTGTATGGGATGAGTTTACATATATGTTATCATTACTACAGTGCACATTAAAATTGTGATGGGAAATAGTCTTACATCCACTAGCTACTAGGAATGCACAGAGTTAAAACAACAGTAATCTCATAGCTGCAGACAAATAGATAATAGATTGGTTAGTAGCTAAATACTGTGATTTACTGCGGCCTTTTAACCATTACTTGAATTGTAGGAGTAAGTAGCTTAAGCCTGATTCTCAAGTCACTTAGAAAACCTCGTAGATGATATTTCTGAAAAACCTCTTCAGTGTTACGGAGCTGGTACAGAAGATTTTGTTGCCAGGACTCTCTGAGCCAGCAAAGAACTATCCCAGGCATCTGGTATACTGCAATTGCCTCGCCTCTGTTAAATCCCTGTCCAGGTTAAGGCCTGTCTTCTATTCTGGATGTCATCTTGATTTATCTGCTGCTTAGTCTGTAATACAAGTGTACATGTGTATATGCATCGGGGGGGAGAAGGCTGTACATGGAAGCTATAGGCTTTAACCAGATCTTCTTTTTAGTTGCAAAAAGAAGACTTTGAAGATGATTTTCATGTCTTTCGAAGACCAGTGAATGACATAACATCTCAGCTGGATATTAATTTTGGGAGTCTTCCTCGCCCTGGCCGTGGATCAAGAGGAGCACGAGGTGGTCGTGGTCGTGGCAGACAAGCTGAGGGGGCAGGACCTCGACCAGAAGTAGTGGTAAATGGTTTTTATGGTTTTTGTTGTTGTTTGCTTGGGGTTTTTTGGGGGTTTTTTTTGGTTGTTGGGGGGGGTGTGGGTGTGTCCCACCCCCTTTTGCATACAATTACTGATTTCTGTAGTGACAGTCTTATTTCTAATTCCTGCCTCATAGTATGTTGGCCTGGTTATTTTGAGTTCATGACCCATATCATGTTCCTTAAAATAAATACTGGTTCAGGCTCACAACTCTTAACACGCAAATTTCAAAAGGTCTGATTACTAGTTGCTGTAATGGTAACTAGAGGAAAGGGTGCAATGAAGATTTGTTCCTGCAATGAGTTTTTATATAAATTGGGAAGTAATTTAAATGACTAAAAGCTTGTATCCCTTACAAAACATTTCAGTGTAGTACAGTAATAGTACTTTGATTACTGAGAGTGAGATCAGTAAATCTGGGATCCCATATATGAAGACAGAATCCTACAGAATGATACAACTGTTCAATATAACCATTAAAAAGCATTTGCTCACTGAAAAATGACATCTTTATTCTATATACTAACTGAAGGTCTCAGTTTACTTCTGTCTAGTATGAGTAAAATACTTTAAGGCTGGAAATGTAGAGTGATACGGAAGTGATTTGATGCATGTTTCATCTGAATGAAAAAGGCTCTTTATAATAACAGAGCATAGAGTTTAAAACTACAATCCAATAAGTGCAGTAGCCTTAGAATGTACAAAGATAATAATGCTGCTTCTAAAAACAGTATTTTGGGTGAGATTGCTTTACTTTTTTTCTTTACTTCAGTACTGCAGAACTTGTGATCTTCTGGTCCTCCCTAGGCAGTAGATCAGCTTTATAAATACATTGACACTGAAGAAATTATACTAGTCATAACTTCTGAGATAAATGCTTAGCATTTCTGTGATAGTGATGGATACAAAGCATTTAACTTGAATAGAATGAACACTTTTCAGAGTAAAATACATAAACATAGCTGTCAGGTGCTTTTGAAATGCATTCATTTTTATAAAGCTTCCTTTCTTACTTGATAGGTGCAGCTTGTTGCTCCAAATCCTGATGATCCTGAGGATTTTCCAGCGTTAGCTTGAAGAACCATCATGAATGGTGGTATCTCAAAGTAGCTTTGGTGCAACTGTGAAGAGACCAGTTTTATGCTGGTGTGGATAAAGAAAGTTGGTTTCTACTTGAAAAGCTGTTTGGGTGTTTGGTGTGGCATGATTGCAGCCCTCTGCTAATGGAGTTGGGTTCTGGAGATACCAGTGGACTGAGATCCTTGTCACAGGTTCCAGTGTCTGCCTCCATTTGTGAAAACTGTGTGAAGGCGTGCAGTACTTCACTACAATTCTTCAAATGAAGTTCACGAGTACAGTGTTTAAAAATGTGTATATAGAGATTATATCAAGTTCTCCATGACACCATGGTGAAATGTAAACTGTACAATATGGTCTGCAGTTGGGACTCTATTTCACTGTACATTTGAAAGCCGCTTTCCCTGTTTCTTTGAGTGAAGTGTGTATTTCACACAGTCACAAGCTGCAGTTCTTCAGAGTTTGGCAAATAAAAGAAAGTGCTTATTGGTTTGGGTTTGAGGTATTATTTTCACAAGTCAGAGTAACAGATTGAAGCTTTTGCTGTTTGGATGTGTCAGAAAAAAAACCTCAAACCCTAAACAGCTGACCTTACTCACCCAAAACAGTGAACATCTCTCTAAACAAAAGTGATCTATAAAATTAAGGCAGCACAGATGCTTTTAATTGATAGCTAACCATAAGTCTTACTTCAGTAACAAGATATAACATGCATCTACTTTGAAGATGTTGAAAGTGAAGTAAAGTAAGAATTTTGAGCTAAAGACAGAACTAAACTGTTAAGGAAGCTTTTAATTTTAGCAGGAATAGCTACAAACTAAAATATTTCATGCCTTACCAAGAAGTTTGTGTAGCACTGGGGATGAGGTGGGATGTCCTTTTCTTGCAGCTTTAACGTACTTCCTTACTTGAGTCAGATACCTGAACTTGTTCCCTGTCAAAGGGGACACTCAAAGCCGTTCTTGGGCATCTGAGAGAAACAATGAAATGGTGCTAGAAGTGATGAGGGAAAGAAATGAGAGCACAACCACACTGGAAATTTTGGAAGTAGTTGTCAGCCTGAAAGGAATCTTCAGATGCCTGCTCAACTTGAACTCATTCTTTCAATTTACTGGGAAAGCAGATTAATGTAAACTGTTTTGGGTTTTTATTTTTTTCCTTCCTGTCTGCCTCAGTTTGTTTTGTATCACTTCTAAGCAGTCTCCTTTAAGAGCAAATAGTGGATGAGACTTGAAGAAAAAAACTGTTTTCCTTTGGAGTAAGGTCTAAGAGTATTCAGAAACTTAAATTAACTCTTATCTCAGTGGTAAGGCTTTATACAAGTAGGATATAATAATTCTAGAAAAACTACTGACTCTTTTTCTATGTGCTCCAAACAGATGGTCTGCAAAGCAGTGCTGCCCAAAGGCCTTTTCTTACATTGTTAAATTACTTGGATGATGATTTGCTGTAACATGAGATTTTGGATTCCACAAGCTCATTTTAGTGGCATAGAGATGCTGTGACAACCTGTAGTAGAAAGAATGTGCAAAAGCAAGTGAAGTGCTGCTGTTAAAGGAACCCATGCTGCTGCTTTTTGAGTAATTGAACTGGATGAAATTGTGTAAATGACTCTTTCACCTTTTAGGAACAAGCTACTACTTGAAATCACTGCAGTTTAACTGCTGCTGCTCTTTTAATAGGTGTTTGGGTGTTTCTGCCAAGAACAGCAATTTCATGACTGTGGAAGAGAAGCGATTTTGTCTATGGGGGTATTGTTCTTCCCTTTCTGCCTGCCTTATCCCATCATTTTCTCCTTATCTCATTGGACAGGGAAGAATGTGTCTGAATTTTTATTTATGTTTTTGCTTGCAGGGGTAAATGTATATATAGGTGTGGAGAGCTTCTTTGCAAGGTTCACCTCTGTTTTCTCTCATGATTTGAAGGTGTAGCCTCTTCTTTTACTAACACCTGTTTTTGCTAAGGGAAGCAGTGAAATACTTAAAAGCAACCCTTCCTTTTTCTACTAAAAAATTTGAAACCTTGTTATGCTACTGGGCTGAATCTGGTGTAATGCAGTTGAGTTGGTTCAGTTCTGACTGTTCTCTGGGAAGGCTGAAAGGATTGTTTTATTTTTCAGTCTGGTTCCTGCTGCTGCAAAGTTACTGTTCACTCCTAACTTTGATCTGTTTTTCAAAACAGAATGACAAGTATGTTCTTTGGGGAATGCTTTAAAGGACTGGTCAAAGTGTATCTGTATAATCAGCATTTGGTCAGCAGATTGTTTAAAAAAAGTGGGCTGGTTTTAAGACTGTTTAATTAAAAAAAACCCAAACAAACAACAAAAAAACCCCCAAACCCACAAACCATCCAATGCAAAACTTTGTCAGAATGAGATTTAGTGTAGCTGGTTACTGCTCATTAAACCAAAAGCGTCTTAGAGCAGCTAGGTGTGACAATTCTCTTTTTCAGTCTGTCAGACTTGAATATGGCTTAAGAGTTTCTCTAGACAATAGTATCTAAGTACAGAGAAGAAATTATTAATTGTAAGTGGTGACAGTAATGCAATTCCTTTGCCTAGCTGTGAAAAGAGAACTTTCTCAGTCATTTGTCTCATTTAAGGTACCAAAATAGCTGTATCTGTTAAGCACATGTCTGCTGCTAAGAGTCATTCCTGGTTTAGCTTTACTCCTTTGTGTAAAGCAAGTGGTAGCAGGTGTAAATATATACACAGACATTAGTAAAACATGGCATGCATCTTAAGAAGAGATTCAGTTGTGTTGCAGATCTTAGTCATGTTACTCTTTAATGCACTACCACAGAGTACTTTGCTGTTAATATTACTGTAGTGAGTGGCCTAGGAAAAACTACTGCATTTCAACTTTGAGTTTAACATTAATGTAAATCACAGTAAGTTTGCAAAGAAAGGAATTCACCTCTCCACAACTGTCATTTACATATGATAATGTTGATACTGTGTGGTCCACTTGAATCACATGTATTACCATGGTATAGGATTGGCAAGAGTATATTACTATGAAAGTGCCTTCAAGGGAAAGAGGAGAGGAAAGTCTGTGCTTAATATAAGAATACTAAAGAATAACTAAAAAGACTCAAAAGTAAAAAGCCCTGGTAAAAAACTTCAGTTGCTAAATAGGAAAATTAAGCAATTGAGCCCATGGGAGGTGAGCTTTCAGCTCTGGTTAGACTTTTTCATGTGAAAACAGGGCTCGGGGTATGCGCAGCCTTTGGAGCCGAAACCAAAATCTGTAGCCCTAGTACACCTATGTCATTAAGATTATTCTTACACAATGTTCAAGCCATTTTTTTTTCCCCTTCAGAGCTGTCACAGGCACATCTGCACATACATCCACATAAAAATAGATGTATACACACGTATATATTCAGTGTTGAAAGTAATATAACACAGACTCATTGTCACTGGATCAACAATTGAATGTGAAACATGATTGTCTTTGCAGAAGTACATTTCAGTCACTGAATAACAAGCCTGGAACTAGAGCTTTTCTCTTTCAGTAACATGCTGGGCAAGTATTGAAGAGTTTGTGCTTGGAGGGGGAAAACCTTCAGTCTTTGGAAGAAGTAACAACTGTTAACACTTTGGCTCTATTACTCTGAATTTAATTTGAAATACATTAAATCTTCAGCTGGGTTTTATTTATCTGCAAACAAATGCCTTTTTGAAGATGTGATGCAACAAATGTTGCAGATAGCTGCATCTTCAGAGCAGCTTTAGATACTGTATCATAATTAATGGCAGCATTATCTTTGAGACAAACTAGCACTTAATGAATTGAATAAAGTTTTTGCTCTCCCTGTTTGGGGTAGCTAGTGTTTGAATATCCATATTCTGCGTTCTCTTGTCTCTACAATGTTTTACAGCTAGTTAACAGGACTCATTAAGCTGCTGTCTGCTTTTAGCAATGGAGGTTCCTCTGTCTAGATTTGTACAGTAGTTACTATTTGAATGAAGGATACTGAGTTTTGTATAATGTAATTGAATTAGCAGGATAACTTTGCAAAAAGGTAAAAATAGCAGCAATAAGGTATGGAATTATTCTCTTCTGGCAAGAGAAAAAATAAGTTGACATACTATAAGCCAGGAATTCTGTGCTTGTTAGTGGTTTGGTTATATTTCTGTTACTTATGGATTGAATGCTGTTTTCAGAGGTTTTCTGGGCTCTAGCAAAGGCTCTGGACCTTGGAAGCTGTTGTGGGAAAAGTAAACACCTAGGAACCTCTTCAGTGAAGCTTCCACTTTAGTGAAAGAAGATCATGGGCTGGTAAAGGTCTGATCAGTGGGAGGAAAGGAAGGAACCCCAACAAACCAACATTAAATAATAGTTCACTTAAAAATAGAGATTATGTTGGTGTGGGAGAGATGGACAAAAAGCACCTAGAAGCATGATGCCAGGACAATTGTCACCTGTTGTGAGTACTGAGTAGAGATTCAGTCCTAGGAGCATGACAATTTGGGAGGAACAGTTAAAGATGAGTCTGGTAATGGCAGAACTCAAACTTGGGAAGAAACACAATTGGGTCTACAGAGGAGCTGTGTTTGAAGGGGGGTAATGAGGAAGCTGACCCCTTCCACTGAGTAGAAAACCAAGGAAGTGCCCTGCCATCTTCAGAGGATGGCGTTGAGGCATGAAAGCACTGATGGGGGTAAAAGCAAGCTCACAATGGTGAGAATTGGTCTGCTTCAGCATTTGCATAGTGTCTATCTCCCTGCTCCTGGCAGCAATCACTTTGGATTTTCCTGCATTAATAATAGCTGCTGCCAAGGGTAATCTACTGTCTGGTCCCTCTGTCCTGTCAGGGCACAAGGAGTTTGGGATTTACCACTTTACCCTGTTTGTTGCATAACAGGTCTGCAGCAACTGGTGTAGTTGGAAGAGCTGGGAGTTGGAGGTGCTAGTGACACCCAAGTGCTTTCTGTCTGGTGCTACGCAGCAGGGCCACTGCATGCCAGGTTGAGGGATGAACAGCAGCTGCTGCTTGGGCTGTCTGGTTTTGCCATGGATTCTTCAGCAGCCTTGTGGACTGAGTTTGATAGGGAGGACATGGACCAGGAGGAGCTGTTTAAAGGACAGACTTTCTAGATGGCCTCCCCCAGTCACCCTTGTCACAGTCCAACACTTGGACCAGGTTCCTGGAGGTATTTCATGGATGCAGTATGTCATGCTTAATACTGAATTTACTTACTTGAAGATGGTTGATGTCACAGGGCATTTCTGACTTAGGGTGATATAAAGTATACTGAAAACACAACACGAAGGTAAGTAAGTTAACACTTTGCAAAATACAGCAGTTGCAATACACAGTTCAATCACACAGTACCAGTGTGATTCCCCTTACTGGTCCCTATGATAACCTAGTTGTCACCATGCAGGGTGTCCCCAGTTGCCAGGAATGAATAGGAGGGTTGATGCCAGCTCAAGCCTGTTGCTCTCTTTCTTTGAAATTCTTTTGGCAGTTGTCTAGAGCTTATACTGTACGTATGTATTTTCCCCATGCTGGTCTGGCCAGAGACCCTCACTCTCTCTAAAGAACTCATGGAAAAACATTTACACCATCAGTTGATCCACTCAACTATTGATAGCCGTTTATCTCAAACAAAGGCCACCCTCTGGTCCCCTTTGTGTTGAGATAAAGTCATCTTCTTTGCAACAGCTGTGGTCCATCATGCCCTGCATCATTCCCTCAGATTCACAAGCATGTCACCCTTGCCCATCTCCTCTTAGCCTTGTTCCATTTTAGGGGCTTACTGATCAGTCACACCCCTGTGAAACCAACCCCAAAACCACAAATGCAAGAAAAAGCAAACAGCTCTCAATAAATTCTTAGCGAGTTAGGCTTAAAGCATGCAGTTTCTCTTCAACACTAGCCTTGAATATTTCTAAACAGCACATCCATTTTGCTACAGCATATTTTTCCCTACTCCTACACGTGTTAAATAGAAACTGTAATGCAAAGGAGGCTAAACAGAGCCAAATCGAAGTTACTCAGAAATACCGTAAACAGAAAAACTGTAAAGTTGTAGTGCACTTACTTGTCAATGGATTTGACCCGGGCCACTGTTCAATTAATCTCTGTAGGATTTTTTTAGTCCTCTGCCTTCCCCTGCCCAGTGCCAATACTCCTTAAATCACTAATGATATGATAGGGCTTAACTGTGCTTTACTCTGGAAAGCACATGAATAAACTCTTTTCCCAGGCAAAACCCATCATTCACTCTTCAGCAGGCAACTAGTTTGTTAGGAAAAATGTGGTTTAAACATTCATGTAAGTTTAGAAAGAATCATAACAGATGAACACAGATTTTCCAACCATAAAAATGTATCTTGGGAGCAAGTGAAAGTTTACTTGCTTGTCAAACAGGCTGTCCTTGGGGTGCACATATTCTGCATTTTCTAATGTAGGTAAGATAAGGGTGATGAGAAGTATTTGAGTTGGTCAGTATTTTTGGTGGTGTTTGGATTTTATTTTTTTTTCTTCCAAGACTAAACTAGACCACCATGAACTCATAAGCAAAAAGAAGTGTTCCTGACAATTTAGTTTTTACTTCTGAGAAACCTTCGCTTTCATGGTAAGTATCAACATATATAGTATTTAATAGGATGCCTGTTTCCAAAAATTAGTACTATATGATCATAGAGGAAGGAAACAAATTAACTAGAACCCCATTGTCCTTAGTCGTGTTTTTTACTGGATAACAGCATCCCCGCAATTCAGATACAATTACTATTGTTTTCCAGATTGAGTTCCCTGAAATGTAGAGCCAGAAGTTCTCTATTTTTGAAATTAGAAAAGTATGTTTTTTAAGGATTTGTGCTTTTATTAAAAGGGTTTCAGGCCACTGAGATGCTTCCATTATTTTTCAGAGCATGTAAGAGTGAGTGTGGTACAGATATGATGGGATTGTGCTGAATTTTTTTAGAATGCTGGAAATAAAAGTGAGAAAACAAACTTCTGATTATTATTTTTAATTTTACACAGTTCATGTTTACAATTCTCACTATTCAATATTTTGTATAAAATCAAATACAATATGCAGTATTTTCAAATGAGACACAAATGCATATTGAACTACTTATTACAAGATAATATGAAGCTTTATCTTAAAAATACCTTCAGCAAAATAAACTCCCATTCTGTCAATCCAAGTTAAAAAAATATGATTAGAAATATACAATTTAAAAATAATCAGGATGAACAGTACTGATTAGTCAAGAAAATTTAGATCTTGATAGTCTGTACATGAGTTTACTCAAGACAAACAGTCTGCAAACCATTAATATAAAAACTGCAGTGCAACAAACTGGTGAACATCACATTTTTCTTCTTTTTCCATTTGAATGCATGAGTCTCTACAGATCTTATTTTTTTGTTTTAAATCAGCAGCATTTTCTATATTGTCATACTGGGGCAAAAAGACAAGGTCTGGGTTAAAATCTGAGTTAAGTTATTGATGCTGTAATGGAAACTAGCAATTTAAGCCAAGATATTTACAGATTTTGAGTATGTTGCATACTTTTGAGTAAGAGACCAAGGGAGAATCCATCTGTCATGTATTTGAAAGAGAGGAAAGAATTTCTAAGGAAAAACTGCTAATTGATGACAGCAGAAATAACTTCCTTTGGCTGCTCTGTAGTACAATGGTGATGCAGCTGCTGCCACACATTCCATTTTGGCACATAATACTTCACAATTCAAAAAAGATTTAGAAACCAAGGACTTCCTCACCCATGCCCACTCTTCATTCTTGTACTTAAGACAGCTTTGGTATGGTATAATAAAAATGCTAGACAAAATACTAAAAATTCAGAAGAACAAACTAAGCAATAAAATTAGATGGGACACAATGAGGTAATGAGTTAATTTTCCATATAAGGCTGTTTGGACAGTTCAAATGTAAAATCCCTTTGACATTTATGTGTTTCTCACTAAGATACTGGGTGGTGGAAGGGGTATCCTGAAACACATTCATGCCAAACATGCGATTTTGGTTTAGCTAAAGTTGCTATTGTGTGTGTGTGCACTTGTTTTATGCAAATTTACTTCTGATGAACCTGAAAGTGCTAACGGCTCTGCTGGTTACTTTAAAAAAGCCAAATTCCTACTTTGGAATTTGGAAGGGATGTGAAATAGGCTGATTATTTTCAGATAAAAACAAGGATGCTAAAAGAGGAAGCTCAGCTGAGAGAAGGGCAAAGTCAAACACAATAACTATTACTAAATCTCTCTTGTCTTGACTCTCACCTCACTAGCTTCATCCCTTCTGCCTTCCAGGATAAGAATTTTCTTCAAAAATAAACACAAATTCATATTTGAACAATATACCTACTATTGTGGTTACCTGTACTTCAGCTTTTGGGCAAGTGGCTTAGTTAAAGGAAACAAACAAAAAAAGTCAAGAAATTTTAATTGCTGTATCAGGATGAATTCAGTCCCTCGCTTTTAGGTGCTTTTCACCGACAAGAAAATGGTGGTGAGGGTGAAGATTAAGAGGAAAACAAAAAAGTATTTGGGGTCTGAGCCTCAATGGTCCTTTATTTTGCACCATACAAGCCTCTTTGGCTTTCTTTCTGTATTTGCAAATTTTGACTATCCAAACTCAAGGATGCTACCTGTAAGCTTCCTGCTTCCCCTTCAACTTGTAATGCTCTTGCCACAAAATGTTTTCAAGCCAATGTGGGGCTATTCGTAATGGCATTCAAAAATCACCAGCCTAACAGAAAGCTTAATTTTAATTGAGAAGGATGTAGACTGAAACTAGTCACTGAACCTGCCCATTTATATTCACAAAAAGAAAATTCTCCTCCTTGCAGAGGTAATCTGTATCTTTAAAAATGTCAGTTATTCCATTGCTAACACTTCAGATCTCTTCATTTCTTTTACTTTCTACTGTAAGAGTCACTAAATCAACAGATAACTATCATATTTAAGGCTATGTGGTAACAGTCCTCATCTGAGGGATATGCAGCTATAAACTTCAGTTGGCAGGCAAGGGTACATCACTGCAAAGCCAGCTTTGAGATTTCATAATGTGAAAAGTGGTAGGGAAAAAACACTGCCACTGTTTGAAGACAATCTTGTAGTGGATGAAAATTTCAGTCTCGGATCCCTCTAAAACTTAACACTGCTTTTTAACAGAGGTAAGCTGTAGTTTTAAAAGTGTTAATTAGATGTTAAAAACTATACCTGCCCCTGAGTTCCACTACCAATCTCAGTTACAGAGCAAGCTTATTTTCCCTTTTTTGTGTGCTGTACTCATTAAGTGTCTCAAAGCTAAAAACCAGTGACATCCACATGTTACCAAGTGTACCAATAAAACCTGGGAAAAATTCTTACCTTTTAGATATGGTAATCTAAAGTTTCACCTAAAAGACTTGAAGATAGGAAAATAAACAGTAATGACATTTCAATATGACAGCACTGCTTTAAATGGTAAGCTGTTTTTGCTCCCCCTTAAAATCATACCAGATTTGAAGCAATTACTAGTTAAAAGAGCCATTGGTTGTGAACAACTAAAAATCTATTACTATTAAAAACAAGTTATATCGCTTATAGTTAGTTTTTTCAAAATAAACCACACAACCTTTGAAAATAAAGCACTCTTTGGTGGACAATAGTTACTTTGTGTACTCAGTACTGTGGCTTCATAAAAAACTTCATACAAAATAAGAAAGAATAGCCAATTAACACAGGAGAGTACCAGTACTAGAACAAAAAAGCTTTTGTGGTTGATTTTCAGTCTCAAGTGGAGACTTGAGCCCAGTCTGAAAGGACAACATAGATTTATATATTTAAAAGCTCCCACCATCTTTTAATTTCTGGTGGTCAGCAGCTAAGTGATTGCCATCACAATTTATACACATGCATCATACATACTAGCAAGCCCTCTTTATAATAGAGGGCTTAAGTATTTACACCTGAGTCTGAATGTACACAGATTTCCTTGGTTTTCTTTGAGGAAATGTTAGCACATTAAGAAAGTGTCTGCCAAGCATGTTGACGGTTCATTTTATTCTACAAGTACGGAAGAGATTCTTCAGTTTCACTTTTGCTGAAAAATGGAGCCAAAGTAATCTTCCTTGAATTGCATCAAGTCCCCTCTAGTCACATCCCCTCATTCCTGAATATCCTCTTCAACACTGGTTGCTTATTTGAAACTTAACGCAATACTGTTTTAGTCCTTGGGACGGATTGGCTGCTGAAATAAAACATATTTGAGGAAAAAAGTTAAATATGTACTCAATAGGTATTTCAAGCTAACATTTCTGGCAAGGTAAAATGAGCAAACGATACTTCAAAGAAAGAAACAGAAGATAAAAGTCACTGCATTTAAGAACACAGCAATACTGGTTGTAAAGAAGGCATGGACTGGTCTGATCACAGACAACATGAAGAAAGGTTCCGTTCCATACAGAAAAGCAACAGAGGATTCAAAGTACCATAATTTCATTAAGCGCATTTGCTGTAAAGCATTCCTTTTCTTTCTCTCCCTCTGAGGTATCAGACTGTAGGAAAAGTAGAAAGAATAGTAAAGAAACATTAATTTTTTTAAAGCTCGATTTAGATTACATATAGACAAGCTCTGAAATGCTGCAGGTAGTTTTCAGTGTTTGAACAAGGGTGCAGAAGGCTGCTTTACAATTCCCAGCAAAGCAAAAGCATGAGATTTTTAAAGCATATTCCTCTGTTAGTTTTTATGCTATAGTTCTCTGGTTAAAAGAAGTAAAGGAATCTATACAATACAGTTTTCATACATCTTCCCCTACACTCCCAATTTTTTTTTTTTGCAGTAACTTGACCTGCATTCCCTTAAGCACCTCTACCTACCAAAATTCCTTCACCAGTCAAGATTTCATTTCTAATCAACTGCTTACTATATACATAATCCTAATCCTGTTGTGCGTAGTAACATGGAAAAGACTGTTTCATTTGTGTCTTACTATGATTCAGTTGGTTTGGATCTGGTAGATGCACCTTGTTAAAATACAAACACGAACTTCTCAGTAATTGGCAAATCTACATGGAAGACATCTTAACTGGAGAAACAAGGGCATCCACTGAAAAGACTATGGATAATGCTCTAGTAATGTGGATTTCTTGCAGTTCAACAACAGTGTTATTTCAATCACAAGATACAATGTGTTATGTCTGCCAGTACTGGTCTTTCATAGATGGCAGCTGACATCTAGAGATGTTCTGCAAAGGAAATGCAGTGAATGTTATGAATAGGATTGAAATTCCCTAAATTCTCTTTGCAAAGCCAGAACAGTGTTTTAGCTGTAAATGGCTGTTTTGCCTGAAAAATCATTCTGGAGGCATTCTATGATAGTGTCTCCAACAGTCTGAAGGATGAAATGGCAAATGAATTACCCAGCTCTGTGGATTATGCTGTGTTAGGATGGGTCACAAATGTGATTCATCTACAGTAAGAATTGACTAAAATGACCTAATGCATCAAAAAGTAAGATTAATGTAAAAATACTGCAAGATGTTTCCATGGAACATATCAGACAAGAAAATGAAAGAGTAAGGGTACACAGTAATGTTGGAAGTTCAGAGAAGCCAACAAGGTCTTGGCAAAGACAGAAGTTGGTTAGGGCATGATCTCAATTTTGTAATAATAATTACTCTCCCCTACCCTGGAATCCACTTGATCTGGAATAGGTCAATCAATTTGAGCCCTGTGAGGTAATGCAACCTACACAGACTTCAACAAATGAAAATAAACTTAGATGAAAAAACAAAGGGATGCTTAAAAAAAAAAAAAAAAAAAAAGTGACGTTTTGCCAAATGCTACAGGAAAAATAAAAGGATACCTACAAGATTAACAAGGTCCTGCATTCTAAGTCCATGAAATTGTACAGTCATACCAAAATACTCTTTAGAGGGACCAGCACCCAATTAGCCCTCTCAGATGACAAGATAATTAAGAACTCCAGAACTGTGATATAACTATTTAGGACAAATTTGATCATTGGATCCAAGCATAAAGTGACTGAAAATCTTTGACCTCAAAAGTTAGAAGAAAAGAAACAGTATATGGAATGAAATATTTGGGGCAGAAGTTTTAGAAAATCCATTAAAATATGAAGTAGTTTATGAAGTTTAAGATCAACCTGATCCTTGTTCCTCAGAGTCATAAATCTGGCAATACACCTAAAGGATTTATTTCAAAATAACTGAAATCTTCTATGAACTCTATTTTAGGGAAGTTGTTTCCTCCTAAGTATAGGTATTCTCATCTCAGACAACACAAAGGTCAACTTGGAGATGTGTTCTCCAGGAACTGAAAATCGCTGTTCAATTACATATGTGCATGTATACAGCTACCAAGTGTTGCAAAGAGCTTAAAACTGGGACAGGCATGAAGAATAAAAATAGCAGGCAGAATCCCATCAATTCTGTTTGGACCGAAACAGACATGGTGAAAATGTTGCAAAATGGAGATAAAAACTAACCAACCAAACAGGAAAACCCTGAGAAATACTTCAGATTTTTAGTAAAACATGCATTTCAGGAAAAAGAGATTTTTTTTTTAACATATTATTATACAAATCAAAATGTAATTCGTATAGCCACTGCTAAAAATTCTCTGACTAGTATTTACTGCAGTCTACTATTAATGACTATTTCTGTTGCTTGATAGAGTGAATTTTTCGTAACTTCTGTTACCTTCAAGGTAACAGGATGAGGAAGGGGAAAGAAGAGCTCTGTGGGGAAAAAGCTGCAGAAGAACTTGCAATTTTCAGCAGTATTTATAAACCAAGCTACTTAACTATTTCTTACGTTATTAGCCACCTTTTACTTTTCCCAACAAAAGGAAGTCTCTTCAACACCTGACAGACCCATTCAAAAGTTTTTCACTATAAGCACAAGACAAATTCTGGCCAATTGTAACCACTGGAAGTTGCTTGGAAATTGTTTTAAGCTACACTTTCAGGCTCATCTTTGATAATGACCTGGAGAGCTGCCATAGAGGGGCATGAACACATGCACACACAAAGAAACATAGCAGTAGTGTGGCCACACGCTTCTGGGCCAAAAGTCACTTTCAGTCTTGCATAAATCCATCCAAATTTAAAATTTCACTAAGCTTTACTGAACAGGTTAAGTTCAGATTATCAGCCATACTCTCAGTACAAAATCTCACAGTGGTATACACATGCATTTTACACACTTCATCCTCTCCACTACTACTGCATTTCAGTTGTCCATCAAACTCCTCAGTTTTGACTTTGTGTACTGACTAATAATTGACTTAATGCTGTGAACAACTCTTCTACCTCTTAATCCAGGCAGAGGTGTGGCAGAGAAAGGCGCTTTTTTGTTACCAAAATCCCTCACCTTCAGTAATTCTGACTCACATTAGGAATAACAATATAAAATTCTCAAAGCTGAAAGACTGAGCAATGTAAACAAATTACGTAAGATTTAAGGTTCCAGATATTCTCAGTACATGACATAAACCATAAAATTGTTTCTCATTTCCTATTGCTAGGAGAAGGAGTTAAATTGTGGCAAAAGCTCCTGTCAGCGATGGGTACGCCAGCTCAAAGTATTTGCCTAGAGAACAGTTACTGGATCTGTAAAGAGGGTAACTCTCACCTTTTTTAACTGTTTTTTCTTGCAGCAGACCTGGTAGTTCTTTTAGTAATGTCTGTACTGTCAGAAATGCTAGGTTCAGAGGTTTTATTTTTCTGAACACTGGACTGCAGAATTACTCTGGAAAGAGTAGGAAAAAAGAAAGATTATATAACCTGAAAGTTTCTAGGAAAACACTGAAAAGAGGGTATTACAGTTGCAGCAGAGCTAATAAGTATCAGCTGGCTTTTCACAAATCATTCTGAAAAGCAAACTGTTCTGCCTGAAACACATCCTTCTGTTTGTAACATCCTTGTTACAATTACGGTAATGCAAGTTGTTTTATTAGGAGCACAGCAGTTTGTTTTGTTGGTTGATTTTTTTTTTTTGCTTTCAAGGAATGGATTAAATTAATGGTTTTGAATTTCCTGTTAGGTTTTTGGAAGACAAAAAGCTAAGAAACTGTATTTTAAATTACTGGAACAAAACAAAACAAAAAAGATAAAATCTGAAGTATGCAACCAAACTAAACATTATTTTCTAGACTAACACACAAAGGAATTCAGAAAAACACCCAAGTAATTCAATTTGTGAAGATCAAAGTCTAAATCTCCTGCAATTAACCACGAGATATTCCCTTCAAATACAGTAGCCTAGGAAAATCATTGCACATGCTGGCATTTTGCTCTTACAGGGAATTACTACACTATAGTCAAAACTGAGCTTTACATGCTGGTTGTGCTCAGCTGGTTCTCTGGAAGACTCTAGAGCAACATACTGACTACTTCTTAAACAGGCAGATAAATCCTAGTGTTGCTTACATCAATAAGAAAGTAATTCCAGATTGTGAAATGCAAACAACTATTTTTAGCCACCAGCCAACTGGTTCATATGGAAACCATGTCTTCTGTATTCCTAAATACTTGCAGTGAAATTATGATACTATGGAGACAAAAAGTGACAACTGGTCAACGGAGTCCACAGATATCTATTTAGTGCATCATTTCATACGCGTATTCCCCAGTAATTTGTCTGTGCAAGATTCCAACTATAAAACTATGCATCATTTTAGAGGTTTAGAGCTACAAGTAACATAACTGTTACTGTTTTTTCCCCTGCTGTTATTAGACTCTAATTTTCAGTGGCTTCACTGAGTCCATCTTTGCCAGCAGATTATATTAGATTGGCTATCAAAACCTTCATTAAGTTATATAAACAGCAGTCTGGTTGTTTAATACTCCTAAGAAACTTTTCAAGATACGAACATAAAATGTAACTTTTGCAGCAAAAATGGACAGGCATACGTGGAGGAAAATATGAGTATTTTCATACTCATGTAACATATTCACCAAAACAGAAATGGAAAAAAACCCCTATGCTATTATTGTTTTATATGGGTTTGATACCAGAATTAGAATATGCATTGGAGATAACACAATTTCATCTAAAATAAACTCTTTACAGCAGTAAAACTGATCAGTGACCTTATTTACCACATACTTTTAGACTATTTAGCAAACAGATGACCACAAAGTTCAAGTATTTTAAATTTCTACTTGAACAAGTCTCTCTTAATATTTCAGACTTGCAAAATCTTGTTACTTCATTTGCAAAAGTCCAAACCAAACAGGCTTCTATTCCTCCAAAATAAGATACAAGATTGTAATGGCAAGGACTATCAGAACACAAAGCAAATTCTACTGTAAACACAACACATTCAAAGTCAGAGGAATCAGTTCAGAGGCTGAAAACGAAAACCATACAGCTTCAACATCATACCATGCTTCTGTAGACAAGAACACAAATTCTTCTAACAAAAATCTGTTTTCCTTGCATGCCCAAGGTGAAAAAGTTCAAAACCTGGAAGGTCACTTTATAATTTCTATTGTGCTTGTAAACCAGTCCTAACAAGTTCTAATATTAAAACTTAAAATTCTCTTCTCAGTGCCACAGTTGTCATACAACATGAACAAATTTGAGCTACTGCACTTTCAACTATGCTTTAAAAATTACACCAGTGGTGAAAAAAAAGACTTGCACTGTACCTTTTATCTGTGCCACTAGCGACTTCCAGGACTGAACGGAAAGGTACAAAGCTGGCTTAACACCATAACATTTAGTCACTGAAATATAAGCATGACCAGATCATGGCACATGCTGGTTTAGTAGCGCTCATGCAGACAGAAATATGGAAAAATCATGTTTTCTCCTTAAATACATACCTAAAGTGTGTCTCTGCATAAAATGCATGTAATGTACATATATAAAAGAGCAAAGTTACTGGAACATGATCTAATGGTTATAATCTTTCTCTTACAGGTATCCATTCTTTCCAGACACCAGAAGTTCAGAAAACAGGTCAGTATACAGTGGCTTAAACCCATATACTTATCTAATATGAACTGAAATACTATGAAGTGTTAAGATACCACCTTGCATAAACACTAAAATATTCATCTTTTCAACATATCATAGGTAAGTCCTTACTTCCCACAGATTTTTATATTATCTGTTCAAAAGAAAGAAAAGAAAAGAAAAGAGGTTCTAAATGGGAACGTGACTTACAACAATAGTCACCATATATAATTACACCTTAAAACCAAACCAACCACAACATCATCCTCTTAAGATTGCTGTATTTACCAAAGGGTAGGGAGAGAAGGAGCTGCCTTATGGGATCAGATCAGAGCCAGCTGTGAGCATGGTAGAACCTTTAACATCATCTGCTCTTTAGTTGATATACCATTTTTACATCTCAGCAAATTCACACAAATTCATACAGCTACCCAAAAGTAAAGATTAACTGAAATCCCTGTGAACAAAACATTCGCTCAATGATCGAACAGACATGTTTAAATCAGGCTAAAATACTAGACTTCCAAGGCTGATAGCACCTCAGAGAAAACAGATGAGGTCCCATTTACACCATCATCTGACATGGTGTTACAACTAAACACCCCGAGCTGTCTTCGGGCCCTTAACTATCAGCTTAGGAGCAGTAACAGTGCTAACAGAGTTTTTGTTAGAATGTTACTGCGTACATGTTTAAGGTAAGAGAAGAAACTATCTTTAATGTATGGAATTTTGATTTAACACTATTCGACTAGCAGCCTCACTTCACAGAAGGTTCATTAGATAGTTTTTATAATGGACATGAGGTGAGGCCACAGTAGACGAAATCCTCCCAAAATCTCAGCACAAAAAAAATTCCCAAGCTATATTAGAGAAGGGTAAGGTCCTCAGGACACTACCTTACTGCTTTGTAACTGTTATTGTAAAATAGCATGTCATGCTGTACATGACAAGGACAAACTTCCAGAAACACCAGCAGAAAGCGCATCTGATGTACACAGAAGTTTTCTAAATCATTGAAATATGATTTAGTTTTTTTTTTTAAAGAAAAAGCAAAACATTTCCTGAACATAGGCTACAGGATGCAGTAATAGCCACACTACTAAAATAGGTAATCCATGTATCATCAAGAATTTTTCATCTCCAGTTCATCTATAATCGAAGCATCACTTGGTAGTTCTGGACCTAATATACTCCCCAAACATCAGACTAGTTTATACACTACTTTCTTATTCACGCTAATATATTGGTGTATTGGCTTTGTGTGGCAAGGTTTTGGTAGCGGGGGGTGGGGGCTACAGGGGTGGTTTCTGTGAGAAGCTGCTGGAAGCTTCCCCTGTGTCCGACAGAGCCAATACCAACCAGCTCTAAGACAGACCCGCCACCGGCCAAGGCTGAGCCCATCAGTGATAGTGGTAGTGCTTCTGTGATAACATATTTAAGATGGAAAAAAAAGTTGCTGGGACAGACAGAAATGGAAGCCGGAGAGAGGAGTGAGAACATGTAAGAGAAACAGCCCTGCAGACACCAAGGTCAGTGCAGAAGGAGGGGGAGGAGATGCTCCAGGCGCTGGAGCGAAGATTCCCCTGCAGCCCGTGGTGAAGGCCACGGTGAGGCAGGCTGTCCCCCTGCAGCCCATGGAGGTCCACGGAGGAGCAGATATCCACCTGCAGCCCGTGGAGGACCCCACGCCAGAGCAGGTGGATGCCTGAAGGAGGCTGTGACCCCGTGGGAAGCCCGCGCTGGAGCAGGCTCCTGGCAGGACCTGTGGACCTGTGGAGAGAGAAGTCCATGGAGCAGGTTTTCTGGCAGGACTTGTGACGGGACCCATGCTGGAGCAGTGTGCTCCTGAAGGACTGCACACCGTGGAAAGGACCCACGCTGGAGCAGTTCGTGAAGAACTGCAGCCCATGGGAAGGGCCCACATTGCAGAAGTTCATGGAGGACTGTCTCCCATGGGAGGGACCCCACGCTGGAGCAGGGGAAGAGTGTGAGGAATCCTGCCCCTGAGGAGGATGAAGCAGCAGAAATAACGTGTGATGAACTGACCGTAAACCCCATTCCCTGTCCCCCTGTGCCGCTGGTGGGGGTAGATAGAGAATCTGGGAGTAAAGTTGTGCCCGGTGAAGAAGGGAGGGGTGTTTTGAGATTTGGTTTTATTTCTCATTACCCTACTCTGGTTGATTGGTAATAAATTGAGTTAATTTTCCCCAAGTTGAGTCTGTTTTGCCCGTGATGGTACTTGGTGAATGATCTCTCCTGTCCTTATCTTGACCTACAAGCCCTTTGTTATATTTTTCTCTCCCCTGTCCAGCTGAGGAGGGGGGAGTGAGAGAATGGCTTTGGTGGGCACCTGGCATTCAGCCAGGGTCAACCCACCACAATTGGCTTTAAACAAATCAAAACCTGCTTAAATGGAAAGTTTTTGGGTCAGTAGCACCATCTTTTAAATAGTTCACAACTTTTTATCACCATTTAACTCAGAGTGGGGTGGGGCGACAGGTGCACCACCAGGACACAAAAGCCCAAACCCCACAACCCAAGACAAAATTCACAAAACTTGAAATGCCAGCAAGGTAATACATCTTGGAGAGAAATTAATCCACACAACAAGCTTTCTTAAAAGAAAAATGATTACAGTATCCTAGGAAGGCATGAAGGGAACAGAGGTTACAGAGGAGCATGTCTTCTCTGACTTGCAATGGGCATTTTATTCTTGCCAAGGTTACCTGTTTTACGAGGTCTGTCAAATGCAATATTGCTTTCTCCTTCATCACCTCATGATTTTTAGGAAACTAGGCCTGAGACCTCTACCACTGTTCCAAGTCATTGATAGGCAGCAAGTGACTGATACTCTTCAGTCTACAGGGCTCAAGCCAACAGGACTGCCAGGTTAGCCCAGAGAGATTCGCAATCCTGATTGATAATTCGATCTCTTAAAACACAAGGGACACTAGCTGCATAATGGAGAGAATGTTAGTCTAGCTTTTAAGAACAGCTGGAGTGTTTTCTCTTCCCAGACATAAACCAACATTGTATGATTGTCAATCCTGGATATGAGGCAGCAGCACCAGTAACCCTATTGCTTGCATTTTGACACATTTACCAACATCAAACAGTCTTTTCTCTTTCCCTCTAGCAAGGGAGTTTTTAGACAGAACACAGAAACCATAAGAGAAAGAAAGGATGATAGTTGAGTGAAATTGATCTTACAGTACAGGAAAATAAAGGACAGATTGTTTCACTTTTTTAACCCGTGTTTTAAGTTTAGCTTTTTAGTCTGTGTTTAGAAATCTGAGGTCTGACTTCTGGAAAACACTGAGACAAGAAATACTGCTACTTTTGATGTAAAACTTTGAAAACAAGCCTCAATGTTCTTTGACAAAGTTAGGTACCAATGGGGGGAAAAAAAAATAGCTAAAGTGATCTTTAGTTCATTTTTTTTTTTTCCTCCAAAAGAACTGATTAAGATAACCTCAGCTAAGGCTAATAGGATAACTAAGTTGTCCACAAGTCCCTCAGTTCTCATTCTTTAGTTATTAGGTCATTTACTTCAGCAGAAAGAGTCCCATGCTTTTTAAAAGTGCAGAAAAAAAGGTGCAAGGCCAAAGGTAAGGACAGAAACTCTTAACCTTAATGTTCTGCCAGGAGAGAATGCCTTTTCTTACTTAGTACTCTGGTGTAAAACACTTTTCCTGACCTATTTTTCCTCTGAGAGCATCAGAGTTTCAAACATTCATCCAAAGTAACCATTTCGCTTTGAGGGTGGTGGTGGTGGAGCAGCTCCAGGGAGACAGGGTAGCAAACAAAGAATTCCTGTTTGGGTTTCCTGGAAGTTCTGCATGCTTCTGAAGTTTTGTTTGGCCAAAAGGTGGAAGTTGTCATTTGATAAAAACATTGCACCTTTTAAGTGGAAGTGAGGCACAGCAATCACTGCAGCCACTCTGACAAAAGCAGAGTGGAGAAAGAGTGAAAACTGTGCTCAAGAAACCAGTATGTTTTTAATGCTTCACTCAGCCTCCTGAATCCAAGTAACGGAAAGGAGGGATTTAACTAGTCTCATAAAGCTCTATAAAAATATAATTGAGAACAAAAGAAGATTAAACATGATTGGCTGGGTAAACAAATGAGCCTTGACCTAATACTGCAACCTGCCTCATCTTCTGTTATGTTAAAAAGGAAAAAATTACTGTCTCTTATGGCATGTAACACTATGATCTCTTAGTAAAAACAAAGACCTACGGACATTTCTAACAAATTCTAATTCCTAGCATTTCATGTGAGTAAAACCATGCTTTGGGAGACTAAGCTCCTTTGCAAGTTCATGAATTTTGAAGTAAAACTGGAGCTAACATCTTCATTTGCAATATGCAAAGGATAGGATCATATTTTAAAGCAGTACTTTTTCCTTTTTACAAATACAGTTTTGCTTATATAGTTTTGCTTTTTTGCAGGAGCATGCAGAGATGAAAGGCTTCAAAATTATAAATTATCCTAATTAAAAAAGCTCTGCACCTTTTTGTATTGCAAGCCAGCCATAAAAATCACTCAGTTATTCCAAATAATATATACAAAAATATATACAACAAAGCCAGAGCAGTGAAATTTACTCTTGCAACAAAGCCAGTAAGAAACATGATATGAAAACATGCATTTATGAGACATACTAGACAGAAAGTGTGAGCTATTGTAGAGAAATGGAATGGGACACTTACACAGTGGCTCTCTCTCAGGGGGTCCTGATGGTTACTATGTTCTTAAACCATCTAGACAGAATAGCAGGCTGGGCAGAAGGGAGCCACATACAATCCACCAGATGACAATGCTACACAGTGTAGATACCAGCATAGCTAGGAGCCATCTAAAAAAGGGGTTGGAGGGGGAGGAAAAGATGAACAAAAATTCAAAAGCAAAAGCTATTGGTGCATTTTAGCTTGTTTCAAGTTCTTCAAAAGCATGTTGCTCTATAACCTTTGCCAAGCATTTTCTTACTTTCTATGACTGTAACAATCCATGCAACCATAAATTGCCAAACGTAGTATCCACATGTTGCTGGAATCAAAGCAAATTTTCTGAAATCCTCGCTAAAGTTGTCTATTCCAAAGAAAGCCCGTATCGCTCTTTTGAAAATAAGTGCATGCTGGAGCAGTAGTACATCTCTTTAACACTTGCCGCCACCTCTTATGCAGTTTGATCAGCCTGTACTCATACATCCTACTTCACAATCATATATTTTAATACTAAAACATTAGATCAGAGCCAGATCAGCTTGTCGGAATAAACAATTTATGTAAACACCCAGATGATGGGGTATACTACCTTCCTGTGTTCAAAGCAGCAAAACCTAATTCATAATCCTTTGCCAAAGGTGCAGAATATTGCTTGTTAGAACATACACAAAATATCCATTCATCAAGACATACAGAGTTTACACAACCAACTTCAATAAGCATTAACAAACGTTATACACAAATCCTTTGCGACTTAAACATAAGCAATGCCTCTAGTTCTCAAAGACTGTAATTGTCACACCTTCTGGTGCTCTTATTTTGCGTTTTTTTTTTCTTTTCTGTGAAATAAAACTACATAGAGGATTTAGAAGCTTCTTTTTGTTTGCTTAGATAAAATTAGTCAATTTCACTGCAAGGTTAAAAATTTCTAACAGTCTGAGCTAAAACAGAAAAAGACTGATACCTCTTCTAGTAGGGAAGACTTCTGACTCATATAGGGCAGCTAAATATTCCTAGTGATATTTTGGGTTAACAATAATAACACAAAGAATGTAAGAAGTTATACATCCATTTTTCACCAAATTATTTCACTGCAAGCTGCAAACCATACAAATAACTTGGGGGAACAGGAGGAGGGAAATTCTAACTCCTCATGCCACAATGCACACTATAGAAGACAACTAGATCAAGCTCTAGATCAATTATTTTAATTCTACAGAAGTACATGCTAACTAGTGTTAATTAGAGCAGTCATGTTGCAGAATGTTTCATGAATGCAGTAATATTTTAATAGTTGATAGGCTTTCTGCATATTAAGACAATGGCTCTGAATAGATTACCATACAGTCTACATTTACTCTATGGAACATACAATAAATGAGATCTTTCACAACCTTTATTATATGACTTAAAGTACTTTTTACGGAAAAATATTATGAAGTGGAAACTAAGGCACTATGTGCCTTAGAAACTAATATGCAAGGTATTTTCTTTTTTACTGTGCTATTTGAGGTAACTGACGTGATGTGTTTTGGGGGTTTTTTAATATCAGTTGGGTACAGGCTTTGTTCTGAATCTGTTGTTTCTTATCTGATTGCCTGTGTAAATGATGAGCATGAACAAAAGAGAATCTTTTAAAACAAAAGTAGAATTCATACATAGCAATGTGTGATGGTTTCCAAGGACACATTCCTTTACATTCTGCACATTCTTACTACGTACCTCTCACTTTCTCTAAAAGTCTGATGACGCTGTTTGGTCTTAAAAAAACAAAAAAGAAAAAGAAAAAAGGCCAGCAGCTAGCAGCATCATCCCCTACAGAAAGACAGCACAACGAAACCAAGTTGCCTTTGGTCTCTGACTGGTGCTGTGTTATTTGCAAAAATCTGACAGCCAGGGGTCACCATTCCTTTCCTAGCATCCAGATATGTCCTGCAAGTCTTGCATTCTCTTGTAGTTTATTTAAGGGCAGACAGAAAGTTTTTCTACCTACAGTTGCTACAAGCTACAACAGATGCAAAGGTGACTACAAACTTTCTTTTACAGGTGGTGTTTCAGTACTTGTCTAAAATCAAGAGACTCGTATACCAGGTTCCCTGACAGAAAAGGCACTCCTTTTGAATTTATTTACTGAAATATTGCTAATCTCTGCCTTCCAGATCTACCAACCATTATCCTAAAGACCACAGGATTTAGGGAAAGTTCCCCTCCAAGGAAGAAGAAATGAAAGGAAGCTAAAGATTATTCTTTCAACTCTTCCTCTTAGGTAGCTGACTTTACATCAAAAAGCAATGTGCACGTTACTTCAGCCAAACACCACCACACCGAGTCATATTCTTCCATTTTTATACTACCACAGTAAAGACAAGATAATGTTTGTGAATAAACTAGAAATAAAGCATTCAGGAACACTACGGGAGCTTGTAAAGCGCAGACTACCGGAATCAAAAACAATGCAGAAAACTAGAAACTGAGTAATGCAGTTCTTTAACCAAGTTCTTCTGCCACCTTAGTGCTCACCAAGTCTTCTGAGAAATGAACATCATGAATCTCATGTTTGTTTTAAATGAGTAAAAGCAGCCTTGGCAACAAACTTTTGGGGCCAAAGGGAAGTATGTATAAAGAAGAGGATAAAAGTATTTCTGGCATTTATACATTCAGAAACTGACTTACGTTAGAGGAGATGCAGTTGGAGCTTTTGCCTGCCTTCTACTTTTCAGAGCACGAAGCTTATCACCTTGTGTTACACAATTTGTTTCGTCTTCATCACTGTACTGGATAAGTGGAGAGGGGGAAGGGATAAACCAAGATTAAAATATAGACACTTAGACATTTAAGAATTAACCTTATCTTAAATCTTAAAGTTAGAATTATCCCAATAGGAAAGTTTGCCAGCATAAAATCAAAGAAAATTCACTTGCATAAATACAATTCTGTTCTTTCCAGTTTCCTGTTTGCTGCTCTTAAAGCTGTGAACCATTAAGTGGTGTCATGAATTACATTCATCAGAATGTTGTCTACCTTTAGAACAGTGGACATGTGTTATCGAATCTTTGCTTAGATACAGTGCGATCTTCACTCAAGTACAGTATTTCTCTCCTTCACTTGCCTTTTTAAAACAGCAGTACTATTTTTTTAAAAGGCATCATCAAATGGTATTAGAGAAGTTGCAGTTACTTAGAAACTAAAAGGAGCAAAAAACCTTTCATCCCTTCCCTTTAAACACACACAATGAAGTAACAGAAAATCCAAAACAAAATCACAGTGGGTTTGATTGCAAATTGTACTTTTTTTGTTCTAATATTTACCTAAAGACTAAAGTATGATAAGGGTGCTCCTAATTCAACTGTGTACTGCACTTCATTTTTCATACTTGCTCTCCATACCTTTTTTCCCCCCATATCCCTTGATACAAAAAGGGCAAACAGAAAAAGATTCTGATTAACACAGTTTTAGTGTACACACAGGTTTGTTCAGAACCTGAGAGATTCTCAAAAGCAGTTACAACTTTTACAAGAGCACAATATTCGGATGGTTACCAGTTCAGTGTCCTTTTGGATGGTTCTCCTGCTTCTTGTGTCATTAATTGAAATATCAACTACTCCTGACAAAATTCTTGTTACAGCAATTTTATGGTTTCCTTTCAATTTTGCACGGAAAATATCCCCTTCTGTCCAAAGTTCTGCCTGTTTGCTATCATAACATGGAAAAAAAAAAGCCCCAAACACAACAAATTAACACCAACGATTATTAAGTGTACAATAAAAGAATAAGACATCTAGCTCTATTTTTTAAATCATTTATAGTCAATCTACTTACTCCATCAGGAAGTGTTGCTGCGGTCCAATCACCGAACCAGGTCTATTTATTCTAATCCAGGCAATAGTTTCAGCAGCTGTCATCCGATAATGCTTCATAATGTAACAGGCAATAAGTGTGCCAGTTCGTCCAAGACCAGCTGTGTAAGATAAAAGAATGGCTTCTTTTATATACCCATCTTCATCTGGAATCTGCAGTAGCTACAGACATTGCTATTTGGACAAATAGTTACTTGCCTAGTTTATTAAACAAACCTGCTACTGATCAACTTGTTAAGTGCAATTTACCTTTTGAATTTTTGTTTCCATGTACAAGGTTATTAACACATTTTTCACAGTTTTTTTGAGTGAGGTAACCTTCCAAAGCCAGTGGCTTTACAAATATCTCTAAGTCTATCTATCTTTATTTACCTATCTATGAATATGTTTGTAGGTATGAGAATTATCCCATGCATAAAACCAAACAGCTGGCTTTCTTCCAAAGGTCTCAAAGCACCTTCTTGCAAATTGATCATACACTACACTGAAACCAGTTGCTCTTCCAATCCCTCCTCTTACTTATTTCCTACTTTAGTTCCCAAGGAAAAGGCAAATTTTGCAATCAGCAAGTCGGGGTACTAACCGACACAGGCAAAAAGTACTCCAGAATGAGGAATCTTCTTTGCAATGGCCCTCAAAACAGTTCTATTTACCTTGGGAAAAATAAGAAGGAAAGGAGGATAGCTCCAGCTAAGTGGTTCCTCTCCTCAATCATTTGCTGTAAATGTCAAATCACACATCACCTTCTCTCATTTAACAATCGACTGATCAACCCCAATGTAAGATCTTCAGTATAACCCAATAGCCAAGACAATCACACAGCATTTTCCATGCCTCACCCAGCTTTAAGAATAGGCTACAGCATTCTACTCTTTCTCAATAGTAAGAGCAGGCTGAGGAACAAGGTAGTCTAGACACCATTAGTATGATAAATATCAAAGATCTTAATTTGAATGAAAACAAAGCACTTGTACCACTGATACTCAATATTCAGTTGTAATCAATTAAACAATACGCCCCGAATTTATCACCTCAGTGCAGAGCAAGAGTATGCACTTGCTTCCCAACAGTCAAGATGCTGTTTTTACAAATTCTTCCACTTCATGGTATAATCCTGTTATACAGCAAATGGGTGGCAGATCCGGGAACAAAAATGCAGTCTTTGCAGGTCCCAGGCAAATGGCTTAAAAGGCCTTTCTCCTTCAATCACAGCATTATCAGGTACACTAGTGAGGCAAAGTTTGTGGAGAACTAATGTCTGACAGACTACTGAAGATGGTGTGGGAAGGGAAACGTAGTTCCTCTAGAACCACAGAAAACTGTATCTTTATACTAGCTGCATTGGGCATGCTCTGAATATCTTTTCCTTGGCAGTCTCAGAGCATGCCCAGTGTAGCTAGTATAAGGGGTTTCTGAGGGATAAAGATTTCCGTGCTTCTGGAAGAACACTCATACTTTATGAAGAATCCCCTCCAAAAGTGGCAATGATATTTTCAAAAGTTTATAACTTGGTATATGTAACTGTATATTTACAGAAAGATCTATAAACCCTGTCAGGACTTCAAATTCCTGCTCAAAAGCATCCTTTGAAAGTGCTAATACTTTCTAGCAGAAAGAGCTCTTAATATTGGCAAATTCAGTTTCCCCAGCCTCATTCTTGGAAACAGCTGGGAAAATTTTTCTGGAACTTAAAAAAATTAGAAGATGAAGTGCAGAACAGAAGCACAGAAAGAACTTCTACAGAAAGGTTGCAGTTTGGCAGAGATGTTAATAACTAGATATAAAGGAATTATAGCGCAAAATACCTCAGGAACTGTAACTATAAGCATCACGTGTAATATAAATTGTTTTTACACTATACCTTTGCAATGAACGGCTATAACACCTTCAGCATTTTCACAAATATTTAGAAATGTTTTAACTATAGTATCAGTAGGTGTGCTTCCATCAGCAAAGAAGAGGTCAAAATGCTCAAATCCAGCATCTGTAAATCGTTTGGCATCATACAGTTTTTTGTTGAGGCGTATTATAGTGGTGACCTTATGTTTCCTGAAGTATGGGAAATAAGCCTCTGGAGCATGGTGGGGATAGCCTATTTGAAAAAAGAAGCAAAAAAAAAAAAAAAAGAAGAGAGTAAGGCTCAACTGCAGAAATAAACAAAGACTCAAAAACAAGAGATGAAAACACTTTCAAAATAGGACTCATGTTCAACATAAAGAAATAGACTAACTGAAAATGGAATTTTAACATAATCACCTAGGTCAGATACAATTAAACCAAGCATTAAAATTTTACCGCCAGGGTTCTTATAAAAGAAAAAGAGCCAAGGAAAAAACACACTGTTTGAGGAACAATTCTTAAAGCTTGTTTTTACTGATAACAATCAACTAAGAAAGCAGTGGGCTTGTGTCCCCCACCTCCTTTTTTAAGCATACCATTTTCAATTTTACTTCTTGAATGAGGTCCACTGAAGGCAATGAATTTGTTTGGTATTATCCAGTTAAAATCTCCATTTTCTGCTCTCTGTCAAGAGAAAATGCTTGGTTTATCATTATCCCTGTATTTTCAGGCTTTTCCTTATTGTTTCAAAATACATGCTAGATAGAAGTGATGTACAATATTTGCCAAAGGAAGTTATGTTAGTTGCCTGCTTTCCGTTCCATTGGGAGGATGCCAGGTGCTCTCAACCTCACTTCTCTTGCCTGTGTTCTCCTCTTTCTAAATTAAGAGTTTTAGAACAACACAAATGATGCCCTTCAGATGAAGGGAAACTTCCAATTTTAAATTTTTTATAGGTTTCTAAATTATGACCTTGGCCTTATCTCTGTTGACACTTTAAATTGTGACTTTTTAGATTCTAAGAACACTTAATTTTCTCTTTACAGATAACTGGCAGCTTTGCATTTCTGAGACTGCATATAGTCAAGAGTTGCAGTCCTTCATTGTCTCATTTGTTTCCCATGCCCCAGAGTTAATTTTATAGGCTTGGAGCTTTCCAGCCCTGTCTCCTTCTTTACCTCAAAGAGTGTTATTATACTTTGCCATGTGTTCACAGATACATACTTTAATTGCTCTCCAGAATTCAGTTAGACTTGGACTTGTACGCCCTTGAGTTTCTCATCAAGACTGCTCAAGAATATGCATGACCTCTAAAAGGTGGCCAAATTCCCACTGCCCAATCATCTTCCAGGGTTTTAATAATAATGGAAAAAAGTATTTATTTCCATTTTGGTTTCTGCTTTCCCCCACATGTTTGAGGCTCACTATGCTTAAATCTGAATTTTAATATTCTCTCTCTGATCACACACCTTTATTTAACAACCAAAGTTTAAAGAGACAAAACAGAAGTGGAACCTAATACTACTACTACAAAAAAAAGCACATATTATAAACAATCAGCTTGGCATTAGTAACAGCAAACAAATCAGAAGATTGATACTGAACACTTACTTCATAATGCTCATATTCATTTACATCAAACTTATTGAAATCCAGGAAACCATATTGCAAAGCCTAAAATTCAGAATACAGCTTTTAACAAAGACAACACCTTTTCCATGGAGACAGTTTATCACTCTTTTAGGTTACTGAAAGTGCCTTAATACCTGTTCTACTCTTTCAGAGAGATGTCTTCATATATTTGAAAAATATAGATAACTCAGTCTTGGTTCAAAAACAATTTGTAATTTTTAATATAAATGAAGTTAGACAAGCAAATCGACTCTTTTATATTTTCATCGAATCAGTACAAAATTCCAGACTATAGAAGCATTCAGTCTTTTTATTACTGCTAAGTGTACAAAATAAAAAGGAGAAAAATAACTGGCAAAAAATATCTACTGAAATTATGAGTACATTCTGAAGTCTGCATTCAAGGATTGCAAATATTTTTGTGCATGAATGCTATTCGGTCTCTTTACGATGCTAATATCTTCACTGACTAAATTGTTTGCAGACACAGTCCTAAGCAGATACTAATGTGGTCCCTGATGTCCCGTAATTATCCACAACCATTACATTAATATGGTATAAAAAATGTAAACATTTGGGTAACTGGCAGTTTACCCACTTGTTAAGTCAGGAAACACAAACACAGATAATCTCATATCTCCAGGTATTTAAAATACTACATTCTAATCTCCTCTTTCACTGCATAATCTTCTGTAGTTTTCCTTGCTGTTCACCAGTACTAAGAAGAATAGTAATTCAACATTCTTGGCATACAAGCAGCCAATATCAAGACATCCAAAAAAGCTGAAAATCACAAATCTGCAAGAAGCTGACTTAATGAGTAAAAATACCAGTATTTGGCAGAGATACCCATAATACAAAAGACAGTAGCAGGGTAGAGAGCTGCAGAATTCCCCATTTCACTACTCACACAGACTAAAAAGAATGCATATAAATTCCCCTGTCCTTCAGTGCCATATTACTTCACCTCTGTATTGCTATAAAACACTAGATTATGATAATTTGTAGTTTAAAAACAAAAAGCACCTGTCTCATAACATTTTTTCTATTTCTATTACTAAAGCAAAACTTGAAGTCATTAGCGCATGCTGCAAATGCCTAAAAAGTATCACTAACCAATTTAAAGCCACTTTCAAAGGCCATATTCAGCCTAAAATATAACACCAGGGGGCATATAATAAACATATCACACAAATCTTAGGGATTAGATGTGTGAATTACTGTCCTGAAAGATTACTCAGAATAAAACTCAGAACTCCCTCTTTAAAAATCTTCACTAGTTGATTATATAAGGTATTGGTTGACTTCTATGGATGCTGTATCTAGAAGTTTTGTTACAACGCATAATACGTAATAAGCTAGGCAACAATCAGAAAATCTGCTACTGCACAGCTCTAATTGGATCCTAGCTTCCTAAGCCTTCTTTTTCTGCTAGGCAATATTTAGTTGACCTTTTGCAATACAAAAAATATTGTTTTACTGACCTTGTTTATTGCATGAAAACAGTCCAGCAATGTCAGATGAAAACTGCAAGTACCAAAGGAAGCATCCCTATAAGATATGATGACCAAACCGGTAAAATTATCCCATTTTAATCCAAGTGAAAGCAACTGAAGATACTTCTCTAAAACACCTTTAAAAAATTGCTTCAAGATAATTAGTAGTACAGTGAAATAATTATGCCAAGTGATTACTTCATGTCCCCCACCTTCCATCTTATAATAATAACAGAACATAAGTTATCTTAACAGATGATCCAAGAGTAAGATTACTCCAGGTAGTTTTGGTAAAGCTGAACTGTTCAATTTCTGACATGAACATTGAAAGTGGCATATTTCAGTGTTCATGTCAACAAAGGACAACACAAACTCCTTGTGGCAGAAGCTAATGCCTAAATCAGTATCATATTCTAACATACAATCTTAGAACATTTTCTTCTGAAGTACACTTTCAAAGAAGTCAAATTTTAATATACTGCAAGTTTTTTCTTCAAATTCCATTTAAAAGAAAAGATGCTGCACACATGCATTCTATGTATATGTGAACAGCATCTTCTTACTAAAACTGTCAAGATACACATTTATGTAGATATATTAAAAGACTTCCCTTAAGATGCACAAAATAGTTTATGCTTAAACACAAGGAGAAACTGGTTTTCATTGAAACCTTTTCTTTCAGCTACAATTTTTTAAATTCTGTTGATCCAAGAATGGCACGTGCTTAGTATGTGACCATTATAAGATTCCATAAGCACTGCAGAGTAGGCATTCTACAGCAATACTATAGTCAATTAAAAAAATAAATTTAAATTGAATCTACATCAAAGAATATCATGTCTTGGCAGAACACCTTCTTTTGAGACCATGCAGCCCTCAGCAGCAAAGAATCATTGATGTTTCAAAAAAGTAAAAAAATATATCATGTTCAAATTTCAACTGAGAGGAGGAAGAACTTCTGAAGAACCTGGATGGCTGACTCTACAACTTTTTTGTATCCTTTTCCTCTCTAATGAATCGGTGTGAAAGCTGGGGGAAAAAAAAGCAGGAAAAGGAAATAACAGAACCCCATTCAAGTGAAAGAAAGGGCAGGTGAAAGTGACATTGTCTCTTAGGCCACCTGACCAGGAAGAACAAGTGGATCAGTCCCTCTACAGAGAGATGGGAGCAGCCTCACATTCACAGGCCATGGTCCTCACAGGGAACTTCAACCCCTCTCAGATCTGTTGGGGGGGCAACACAGCAGGACATAAACAATCTAGGAGGTTCCTGCAATGAACTGGTGACAGCTTCCTCCTCCAGGTGATATGGAAGCCAATGAGGAACAATGCTCTGCTGGACCTCATACTCACCACAGAGGTGCTCGTTGGGGATGTGAAAGTCAAAGGCAGCCTCGGATGCAGTGACTATGAGATGGTAAAGTTCAGGATCCTGAGGGCAGGGAGGATGGTAAAAAGCAAGGTGACAGCCCTGAACTTCAGGAGAGCAGACTTTGGCCTCTTCAAAGATCTGCTTGGAAGAGTCTCATGGGATAAGGCCCTGGAGGGATGATGGGCCCAAGAAAGCTGGTTAATATTCAAGGATCACTGCCTTCAAGCTTAAGGGCAGTTCATCCCAATGAATATGAAGCAGGCAAAAATGCCAGGAGACCTGCATGGATGAACAAGGAACTCCTGGCTGAAGTCAAACACAAAAAGGCAGCCTACAGAGAGTGGAAGCAAGGACAGGTAACCTGGGAGAAATAGAGACATTGTCTGAGCATCCAGGGATGAAATTAGGCACGATAAAGCCCAAGTGGAATTGAATCTGGCCAGGGATGTCAAAGAAAACGTGAAGGGCTTCTATAAGCACATAGGCGACAAAAGGAAGACTAGGGAAAATGTGGGCCCGTTGCTCAATGAGACAGGGGACCTGGTTACACAGGACATGGAAAAGGCCAAGGTACTGAATGCTTTCTTTGCCTCAGTCTTTACTAGCAAGATCAGTCTTCAGGTATCCCAGGTCCCAGAGACCAGGGGGAAAGGCTGGAGTGAGGGAGATGTACTCTTGGTGGAAAAGGATCAGGTCAGGAAACACTTCTGCAAATGGGACATACTTAAGTCCATGGGCCCTGATGGGATGCACCCGAGTGCTGAGGGAGCTGGCTGATGTCATTGCAAGGCAACTCTCACGCTGATGACACAAAACTGGGAGGAGTGGCTGACATGCCAGAGGGTCGCGCTGCCACCCAGAGGAACCCTGACAGGCTGGAGAACTGGGCTGACAGAAGCCTCGTGAAGTTCAAGGAGGAGAAGTGTAAAGTCCTGCACGTGGGAAGGAAAAATCCCAGGCACCAGTACAGGCTGGGGGCTGCACAGCTGGAAAACAGCTTTGCAGAAAAGGACCTGGGGGTCCTTGGGACCTTGGGACACCAAGTTGAACAGGAGTCAGCAACGTGCCTGCCCTGTGACAAAGGTCTACAATATCGTAGACCACATTAGACAAAGTATCGCCAGCAGGTCGAGGGCAGTGATCCTTCCCTCTCCTCAGCACTAGTGAGGCCACACTTGGGAGCACTGTGCTCAGTTCTGGCCTCCTTAGTACAAGAGAGGTATGGACATACTGCAGAGAGTCCAGCACAGGGACGCAAGTATGATTAAGGGACTGAGGCATCTCATATAGAAGCAAAGGCTGAGGAAGCTGTGACTATTCAGCCTGGAGAAAAGAAGGCTCGGAAGGGACTTTATCAATGTATATAAATACCTGAAGTGAAGGTGCAAAGAAGATAGAGCTAGGCTCTTTTCAGTGTTGCTCAGTGACAGGACCAGAGACAATGGGTACAAACTGAAACACAGGAGGTTTGCTCTGAACATCAGGAACCATTTTTTCTCTCTGAGTGTCACTGAGCACTGGAACAGGTTGCCCTGAGAAGCTGTGGAGTCTCCATCCTTGGAGACATTCAGAACCCATCTGGACATGGTCCTGGGCACGGAAGTTGGACTAGATGACCTCCAGAGGTCCCTTCCAACCTCACTGTGATTCCATAAGTGAAAAAAGAAATTCTTTGCATCCTGCTAACAGAAGTTTTCATGTTGATAATGACCCTAAGTAGCAACTACCTGACTGACTTTTTATTATTCTACGGGAAGGTACTGGTTTTTGCAGAGATGAAGATGATCTTAAAGGAGCAGAGCCCAGACCAACATCTCTGTTGATCATTAATGTAATCTGAATTCCTCTATTTGCACCAGGTTTAGTTACACTAGTAAACTCGAGAAAATGGTAAAGTTTGCAGACACTTCAGCAGACTGTATTCTTTATCCCAAAGGCTGGACATGTCTTCAGAAGTCAGCTCTCAGTAAGTCTTATTATGTAACACATCTTTGCATTTCTTTCAGTAGTGCTGTTGAAGTGATGATCTGGGAATTTGGGCAGGGTATATGACCTGAGTAAAAAGCTGCTATCTCCATCACCCACATACACCTTTTATGATATTTAGAAACAAACCTTACAGTCTTCCTAATAAGGACTTTTGTTCTCCTGGGAATATAAAAATGGAATTTAAAAGTGAGAAATGGGATGATGGAAATACACAAAGAGAGGTGCTACTACACCATTATACTGTGGTAATGGCAGGGGGGAAGTAATAGAAATTCAAATCATCAAAAGCCCATCTCTTGGCAAGAGAGCTAGAAAACACAAACAAGCAAGGACTGAATTAATCACCCCATAACAATATATGTGGACAGTAAACTTGCCTCCTAAAAAGTTTTTTGGCCATTCTTTTCTGCATACTGTGGCAGCCAATGGAACACTAGTTTAGTCCAACTTTTAGAAACTTGTTTGGAAGAAACTAAGAAGTTTTTCCTCTGCATGACAGATCAACTTTATTTGCTACCTTAAGCAGCAGAGCATATACCACAAAGAGAAGTCTGTGATCTCAAACAGCTAGGATTACATTCCCTCAGGGTCAAGCAACCATGAACCAATGGTTTTACACACTTCCTCATTGGTAAAAAGAAATACTTTAAAGTTATGCTAAGTCATATGAGGTTAGCTAGCATTCTTTATGCACAAAACAGTCATCGCGGGTTGCTGCATACATTCAACAAATGGGCAAAATGGAGTGCTAAAAGTATTACATTATGAGCCATTTGGGATGAATGACAGATATTTTGATACGTTTAACTATCAACTACTGGCACAAAACCAGACTGCCAAGTGAGAAGCAACAGAGATCAAAAAGCTCAACAAGAGTGCATACAAAGCAGCATGGCCCCTTCACCTTCTGTCAGTGCACTTTAGTACCAGCTGCTAACACCCCTGTTTAGCAGTCTGCACTTAAAGCTCAGGCAGTGAATGTGTCATGTGTTAAAACCAGCACCACCCCCACCACCCCAAATCAGTACTGATAAATGCTACATTCTTCTTAAAAATATCAAGGTACAAAAAGTTCTAACAACTTGTTATTTACCTGAAAGGAAGATATGAAACACTTCCAGCCAATATAAGCCTGTACACATCTTCTGGGGATTCTCTCAGGTATATTATCTATTTTTGTGGAAAAAGACAGAAAACAAAATAAAAAAATTATTTTAAGATTGATATTAATAACTTCAAGTCACTTGTTTACTACAGAAGGCATAATTAATTATCACAGAGCTCAAATGTGATGGGAAAGAGTGGCATCAAGAACAAATGTATGCGAGTGTGAAACAATAAAACTAACATAAGCGATATAAAATACTGGTCAACCTAGAAGAATATATATTTTTAAACAAAATTTATAAATTCATGCAGGAGTTGTTCAACTATAGGCTAAAGTGAAAAAGCTTCTGCCTGTATGGGTTCTTCCATGTTTCTACTGCAACTCTGCTGGACCAGTTTGTAGATTTTTTTTTTTTAATTAAGCTTTCAAGATGTAAATCAAAACACAAAACCTCACAGAGATATCAACAAAGCTATGAATCATCTGGTCTACAAAACAGTGTGTACCCTCAGCAAACAAGATTAAAACAGTAATTTGTGTATGTTTTGATTTTCCTACAGCAGTACATTTGCTTTATTCCAAATCCTGTACTTCCTCCTTTGTACTTGTGAACCAGTATCCAATAACTAAATCCAGATGCCATAAAGAGAAAAAAAAAAAGAAATCTGTAGCTTCAGAAGCAAAAACCTGAGAACAGAATGAAGTACCATACTTGAAGCACTGTATCAAACTTTCTACTGTCAAAAACACTCAGAAAAGAATTCACAAAGGACCAACTCACAACAAATATCCATATGGTCTACCATCACAACATGCCTGATCCCTCTTGGATAGCCTCTAACACTAAGGTCTCCTTAAAGAATACTGTTAAAACTCCTCTTTTATGCAAATCAGGTTTTCCAATCAAACACCATCCCCAGCATGGCCAGGAGGTAACAACTGTTAATAACAAGCTGCCATTACATTAACAGGTAATTTCAAGTGAATATTTTTTCTTTAAAAATGCATTAACTAAGCTTTAACACACTACAGAAAGTTATTTTTTGTCATTAACATTCAGTAAAATTATTCACATCTCTTACATTAATGACCTTTTTCCTTAGAGGTTTTTTGTAAGAATCCTAATGAGTATTAATTAAACATCCACCAAAAATCTAAGTGTGGCATTTTTGCTTTCTGCTGCTTTTGACATTTTTTTCTTTTAAAAGGTGGCATTGCCTTTCAAATTTCTTTGATGCTGCTGCAAAGCCAGTCTGAACAAATGGCTTAACATACCTTCAACATCCTCTCTACACATACACACATTCTTGTGAGGTAGAGAATCAGAGATGGAACAGACCTTGCTAAAAAAAAAAAAAAAAACCACAAACAACCAAACCCAGCCTGAAACATATCCTGAACAGACAGCTAAAACATACATGGTAACAGGTGACCCCTTTCATTTTTCCTCTGATTCGATTACTGTGTTAAGTATTTTCTGAGCGTTCTTCCTGTGCAATTAGCAAAACCAAAGAAAAAACTGTCTGTCTTGTTTTAAGTAGCTTAGTTAAGTAATGAAAACTGCATGTTTTGTGTGTGTGTTTGCTTTCACTGGGGAGGGGTCAGTGACTTTTGCATTAATATTTGCAAGCATACACCTGGAATAGAAGAGAGACTTAAAAAGCCCCCAAAATATCACTGAATAGCTGCTCCTCAGATGCCAGAGTTCACTTTCTATTCTGCAGGCATATTCATTGCCTGAATTGGATATAAAGGTTATATGCCAAGAAATTTCAAGTTGTGTGCTTTGATATAGTCACACTTTGCATCTTGCAGCACAGTGAACACATATTGCTAGCAACCTTATAAATCTAGCACTGCTTATCAGAAAAAGAGCCCTGCCCCAGAAAAACTTATAAACCACAGATATGAAATGGCATTAGCAAATAGAAGGTAATTAAACAGCAGAAACAGAGTTTGTAGAAACTAATCAGAAATTTGTAGAAATTAATCACCCGAAAAAACTTGGGATTCAGTGCTGTAAGGCTGGGTAATATACAGAGAGTACTACTTCTATAACAGGCAAGTAGAAATGCAGCTAATACTAGCTAATCCTCTAAGTGCATGTAGCTCAGAAAGGCCAAGGATTTCTCCCATATCTCAGCTGAGCTTTTACCAGCTTCTTAAGGCAGAAGCATTTGTTTGCAAGTGTAACAGCTGCAAGATGCAAGTTTTTTCTATAACCTTAAGTGTTGTACTAAAGTAAGTCTACATAATGTTACAGTATACTGAAACATGTTAGTTCTTAAGCACAAACTTCTGAAATTACATTACCAGTGAAGTTACTAGAAACACCATTTTAACATACATGCATGTGCATATGGACTTTCCTTAGTTATATGAACACTTGCTACATACAAGGACACTTAAAAAAAGCCAACCTGATTTTGACACAAAAATCCAATGTCTACCATTGTTTACTATATACAAAAAGCACACTGCAAGAAGATGGCATTTTTCAATACGCACAAGCTGCTAAGCAAAAATATGCAGTACTTCCTGTACAACTGAAGCAATATACAGTATACTGACTGAAGAAGGAAGCTCTTCAAGTTGGATTTCTCAGAATTTTCTGAAACAAAGAGAGATCCTGGTACACTTCAGTTGTGACACTACTACGCACACAAGATAAGGCATGTGAACAGTTGCAGAGACAGCAGTTGATGAAATGGTCAGATGGTGTTCTCAGTTAAAAGTGCCTTACAAAAAAAATTAGGTTAATATGAGGATATCTGGACAGGTGCAATGGTGTGGAGTACTTCAAAAGGGAAGAATGGCATTCAGTCTCTGCACAGAATGGGAAAGACCATAAACAGATACTTACTTCACAAGGAAAGTATACTGGCAGTAACATAACACAAGAAGCTGTGACAGTCAAAGTAGAGACAGGGTCAGTTTCTGTCACAGCTTAAGACCATGAGAGAGCTGGAAATCTTGGATGCAAACAAGGCTGGATGGAGGCTGAACATGGGTTAGCCTGGGTTCAGGTTATGGGTGAACCAAATTCCAGATATGGAAACAGGTAAGACTGAAGGAGTGAGGGAAGGAGCAACAAAGCCCAGGGGAGCAACAGACATCAAGGCGGCAGAGGCCATATACGCATGAGGAAGTAGTGTGCACCAGCAGAAATGCATCCTGCACTATACACTTTCAGCACCTCTTAACCTTAACAGCTAGTCCTAATCTGGTCCTGTGGACTGAACACCCGTTACCTGCTGGGACTGCTCCTAGGCTGCCCTGTGAAGTGAACCAAAAAGCAGTGAGCCGGGTTTAAGGAAAGATTCACTTCAAAAACATACTCCTGACACAAACTGAAACTGTTACAACTATATATATAAAACTACATATATAACTGTATATAATACTGTTTCTGACCAGAAGGAGGCCACTAAAGCCTTAAAGATGAACAATTTCTTTGGAATGATGTGGGTGAACAAACCGCAAAAGAATGCCAGTAAACGAGAAAGGAAAAGTGATCAGAGAGACCTGTAGCAGACAGAAGTGTTGAAAGACAGAAGGACTTTCTGAGGCAGTAAGCAGAACTGATGTTTCAGAAAAAAAGAGAATGGAAATGTTGATCTGATGAATAGCAAAACAAAGATGTATTTGTAAATTCATGAGGTATGTACTGGGGGAAGGAGGGAAAATAGGAAAACACATAACATCCAGAAATCAAAATATACAACAGCTGAAACCAGTTTGTCCAGATGCTAATTCTAAGTTATGTTTCTGCTGTGCTTTCTAAGATGACAGAAACTTTCACAAATAAAGTTGTTTTCTTAAGTTAATGTCAATAAAGCAACCAACAAGAAGTACAATTAAAAAGTTGAAAAATATCAAAATAAATTGCAAGCAATTATATTAACTGTTATTAAGCAGAAGCAGGCATTTTCTGGCATAGTTTTTGTCCATTCTTGTATATGTAAATGGAGAGAAGTCTATTAGAATTTTACATTGATCTCCCAAGGGTCTCCTTTCCTGCAGGTCAGGCAAATATTTAAAAAAAAAAAAAAAAAAAAGCAGCTTTTAAAAAAAACTTAGAAACTACAGCAGACCTGAAATAAATAATCCACAAGTACAGTTGCATTGGTTTTAGAATTTTCCTACAATCATACAGAAGCGGAGGAGGGTGTACATACACATCTACATACACACACATACAAAAATACACACGGAAAAACTCTTAAAATCCTTTACAAATCTGTTACTTCAGTACTTCCAGGAAAATTGTTACTATACGGAACTGACATCTTTCAAGCCAAAATAACATACCATTTTATTATACTATGTAATCACTCATATACCCACAGTTTAGAAATTTGCTTTCTTTATGCATAGAAAAAAATATCCTACTGAATTTCAAAATACAGCCAGAAATATGCAATTAGCAGTTGAACCATTAACACTGCTCTAATCATCCTTTTCATTTAGGACATCTGTTTCTAATTAAGGGACTGTAGGCAGCTCCATGAATGGTCAAGAACCATCCAAGCGTTGAGTACTGGGAAAGGTGCACTCAAGCACCGCTCCTGCCAACATCCCTGTGTAGTCAAACAGCTGCTACAACTTTCACTGAATAAAACAGAAGGGCTTGCAGGACTAGGTGACCCAGTGTTTATTTATGAGCACTTAAAATCAACCATAGAATGAGAGTTCTTTTAGCAAGCTATGTTATTGTCAATTCATATTAGTGTTTTCAAAGCAGCCCTATTTTTTTAACAAAGGTTTCCTAGATTAGTGTTATGATCATGAAAACGGTATTCACAACAGGATTAAAAGTATTCCTGGTAGAAAAGGAAAGGAGGCTCTGGTTTAAAAAGGCATCTTAATCTTCAATATATGGGATTGCCAAGTGAAATAGTAATGCTGCAAGGCAAAACATGTTTGATAATAATAATCTTTGACATAACTTGTTGCATTTTCAGGAAAATTAAATAGGGAATTTAAATAAGCTGTACTGTTAGAAACTCTGTCAACTCAAGTTTGTAAATAGCACTTTAAATTCACATCTATGATGTACTTA